AGGGGAAGGGCCGTGAGGATGGCCTCCACCAGCCTATGGGCTGCCTGCCTCAGCTCCCAACTCTGCTGGGAGCCAAGAGAACAAAGGCTCTCCCCTACCTGGAGAAAGGTGCCACAGCTGGGCCTAGAGGAGGTGTCAAGGGCCAGAGTCCCGGCAGGGGACAGGGCATTACATGGGGCCAGCAGAAGAGACCTGGAGAGACTGCGATCAGGAATATTTAAGCCTAGTTTCACCCTGCTGCTGCCCAGACCTGAGATGGCTGGGTGGCCTCGCCCAGATAGGCCACTAGGTGGCAGGAAAGGCCCACAACTCACCCAGCTCCACCTGCTTCCAGCACCGCTGCAGCCCTACCCTCCAGCAGCTTCCCCTCCGCCTGCCTGCCTGCCTGCCCGCCTGCCCGCCCCACCCCACACCGCGGCCTCTGGCCTCTGTTGACCAGGCTCCTGAAGTCTCTTCATTCTTCCTTCTGCCTTCGGGACAACAAAAGACTTTCAGTGCTTCTCCTCCACATGATGGTAATAATTATTGCCGGTGGCTGTTTATTGAGTGCTACCAAGGCACCAGGCTTGCTCGTGCATTATCTCATTTATTTGCACACAAGCTAAGTAAAAATACTCTCCCTAGGTTTCAAGAGGAGACGGACTGAGAAAGCATAAACAGATTGGCCAAGATCACACGACTAGCAGGTCTCAAATGCTGGGGGGTGCTCACAGGGGTGTTAGCCAGTGGGTGTAGTCATGGGGAGGAGGCACAGGCCCCATCAAGGCATCTGAGTTTTGTCCACCATCCTCACCATATTCTAGGAAGGTGTCTTAGCCATGAGGTGAGTGTGAGATTCAAAACCCCTGCCCTGGGGGCCTCCCCGGTGGCACAGTGGTTGAGCGCTGGGTTGCAAAGCTGCCCGCAGCCTCTGCAGCGCCGGTTCGATCCCCGGCTGCTCCCCGGCCACCAGAGGAGGGTCCCACATGGCACTCAGACCTCTCCTGCCGCCCGCTGCTCCCCTCAGCAGTGTACTTCGGTCCCTCTGCCTGCTCTGCTCCCCGCTCTGGCTCTGGTGAATTCTCTCACCCTCCCGCGCTTCCGACTGTACCCAGTGCTTGTATAAATAAATAAATAAATAAATCTTTAAAAAAAGAAAAAAAAGAAAAAACCCTGCCCTGGCGGAGAACTACTGCCTCTGCCCTTCTGCCTCCCCTTCGTACTCACACCAGGTTCTCCCCTCTCTAGCCTTGCTTCCAGTGAATTTCCACGCAGCCCAGACTCCATCCCCCGCTGGCCACCTCCCCCTCTTGGCCTGACTGTCTTTGATCCACTCCATTATTTTCAGCAACCCAGGGGCATCCCTTGGTATGCCAGAGCAGGACTAGTTGTGGGGGTGGGTCAGAGCAGAAGATGAACAAGACAAGACACCCCCCCCTTCTGCATGCAATAAGAGTTTGGCATGTCTAAAATTAGACCTACAATCACTTCTCTAAGTTGTGTCTCATTCAGAGAAACAGTACTGTATCCAGAAGAAAAAGGGCATCTATTTCTACTGCAGTTGTCTTCACCAACACTAGGGTACAGCAGCAGCAGAGTAGGCCTTGGTCTTTCACTCTCTCATACAGGAGAGTGCCTTCCAGACTGCCCCTTCCTACTGGGCCCTTCCAAACTCGGTCCAAGCTCAGTTGTTACCTCCCCATACTTCCCCTTTTCTCCCAGTGTAAACCTGGCTAGCCTTGCCTCTTCTCCCACCTGTCCCATCATCCTGGGATCTTCAGAAAAACAAAACACAGTCAAGTTTCCCAGGAAGGGGTAAGGGTCCTGCCACCCCACAGGATGAGATGAGAGGCATAGGAGAGCAAGAGAGCAGGGAGCTGAGATTTCTTTAATTTCGGGGTTTCTGCTAAGTGAGAATTCAGCAGGGCCAGTGGATGGTTTGGTGCAACCTCTAGTCACTGGACAAAGCTTGCTGACCCAACATTGGCAGCATCCTCCGCCCAAAGGGCAGCGAAAGTTCTGTCATGTGATGCCTTTGGCACCAAGCAGGGGCCATCCAGGATCTTCAGTTATGGCTTTCTCACCTGGAAGCTGATCTCACTCTTCCTCCTCCAACACCTTGGCATACCTGCTCAACTGTGCCAGGCCTGGGGCAGGGAGAGAGCTGAACGGGACACGGGCTCTGACCCTCAGAGCAGAGGTCACAGTTGAACAAGCAGATATATGAACAAATAGCAGAAGAAGAATTTGTTTGACCTGGAGCGGCTGGAGAAAATTCCAGAAGTGATCCTGGAGCAGAACCTTGCGTGACAAAATGGGTGACAGTCAAGTGTCCTCCAGGGACAGCACTAGGGAAGGTGGCTTGACAGATGGGATGCCATGATCTGGGGGCTGGAGTCACGCATCACAACCAGAGCCTGCGTGGCAGGGGAGGAGAAAGCCCTGAACATCCACCTGAGGAGCTAAGATTTCCTTCTCCAGGTTGAGAGTCATCGACAAAATTAACTAAGGAAGTGACATGAGTACATTTTGACTTTGGAAGGAATTTTAGAAGGACTAGAGTGGGGAAAATAAGGAGCAGAAAGACCAGTTGGGAAATTACCAGTTGTGCGAATGAAAAAAGGCGGGGGGCACCTGAACTAGGACATGGTGACTGGGGAGAGGTGTGTAGTGAAATCACAGCTTAAATAGGGATGGGAGATTAGGGTAACATTGTAGCTAAAATTCCTCTTGAAAATCAGTGGAGGGCAGTTACTGCATTAGAGACCATGATAACCCAGCCAGCGCCTCAGAGTTGGAAGCAGCGCTTTTGCCTTTGGCTGAGTGCCAGATGAAACAGGCACTACCCAGATGCCCACACTCCGAGAGGCTGGGGGAGCCAAGACAGACAGCAAATCCATCTCATTCTCCACCAGGGAATACACCTGGAATGGAGGGGGCACTTTCCTGCACTGTAGTTATTTGCCATGAGCTTGCAGTTGCTTCATATAATCAAGCAAGCTAGCTACGTGCACGAGGAGATGGTGCTGAGAAGTGGGCTGGAGGAGACTGTGTGATGGAATACAATTTACAGGGTGAATGAAGCCAGGTCATTTCAGGTTTTGGGGTGAAGAGGGTGGGAGGGGTAATTTTATTTGGGGGCTGTTCCCAAAAAGAATGCCATTCTTTCTCTGGGCTTTTTCACCCAAGTCAGAGGGAACCAGCACCTATCTTTCCTAGCCCTCGATAATATGAACGATGTTACTTGAAATGATTAAAACTGTCTCTACTTTTAAGAGGTGCACGCCACACTCTACTGGCGTTTGCAGTTTTCCTTTTGATTGACAGTGTCCAAACAATGGTCAGCAGAGCATTTGAAGAACTAATGCCGAGTTAAACATTTTCTTTTTTTTTTTTTGAAATATTTATTTTGGCATAGAAAAATTGGGGTGTAGGCCAGAGGCGGGGGTGGGGGGGTGAGAGGATTCACCAGAGATAGAGTGGGGAGCAGAACAGGCCAGATCTACTGAAATACACTGCTGAGGGAGCAGCGGGCGAGAGAGGAGAGGTCAGCTGCACCATATCGTTCAGCATCCTGGCCCAGGACTGAACTCAGGCCACCGTGGTGGACCATCACAGTGGTAGCACTGAGACTTAACGTCACCAGGGAGGGCCCTATTTTCCCTTGTAATATTCATTCTTCATAGCTTAGTGAGTGCACCTTTTCTTCCAAAATCGAAGAAAACTTCAGCCAGAAGTTAGTGCTATCGCAAAACGGCTATCAGAATTGGCATTATCCTGTTTCACTTACAGAGGACCTGTGATTTGTGAAAGAGCTGCCAGGGGCAAGCTGGGTTCCAAGGCTCCCTCCTTGAGGGACTTCTGCCCTATGAAAATGTCGTGAAAACCAGGGTTCCATGCCTCAGTTGCTTCCTATTTGTGGAAAGAAATCGCACAAAAACCCCACAATGTGCCAAAGTGACTCACATCTTGAGTGTGGAATTTGGAGGACTGGGTGGGAAAGTAAAAAGGGAGATTTGAGGGGCTCCAAGTGCATGGTCATCATAGAGGAACATCCCTGGCCTTTCTCTCCGAAGAGCACAGCTCAAAAGGGAATGAACTAGAGACAGGGTGGGGAGCAGAACAGGTAGACTGACTGAAATACACTGCTGAGGGGAGCAGCGGGTGGGACAGGAGAGGTCTGCTGCGCTATGTGGGTCAGCTCCTGGCCGGGGATAGAAATTGTGCTGCAGTGTCTGTCTCTGGTGAATCCTCTCACCTGCCCCCCATCTCTGCCCTGCACCCCAGCTCTTGTATACATATATAAAATAAATATTTGAGAAAAAAAAAAAGGAATGAACTAGAAAGACAGAAGGGATTAGGTGAAACATAATACCTTGCCAGCCAGCCTCTCTGGGAAGAGCACTGCACCACTGCTCGCCAAGGCAGAGAGGCTCATAGTATCCCCACAAAGCTCTCCTGCACTTCCTGGGAAGGAGAAGGCAGCTCGGAACAAACCATCAATCTCAGGAATTTTTCAACATCTCCAAATCTGACAAGATCAAGTCTGGATGTGCCCTGTTTAGCTGACATTACAGGGGTTCCCACAGATCATCTGGTCTGATGGGGGGGGGGAGGAGCAGTCATGAGTTGGAAAAGGGATTCAAAAGCACAAATCCAAGTAACATGAAATAATTTCTAAACATTTTTATTTCAAATCTCTTCAACCCTCCCCAAAAAGACATGGGTCAGTACAGCAATCATAAAAAGGAGATACAAACACAAGAGTCAAAATCTCCCGCACTGACACTTACAAAAAACCGGGAATTGTACATGGGGTTTCCCAACAGGACCTGCAGCAGCTACTAACGTCCCTTTACAAGTCAAACATGCCTATTAATACAGTATATACAGACACCCCATTCTGGAACTAATCTACAGGGACATCCCAACACCCGCCCTCTTGCCCCAGAAAAATACCAAAACACACCCAAAGTGCATTTGTTTTGTTTATATCAAAACATCTTTCCTTTTCCCACCCCACCCTCAAACCCTCCCACCCCATTTAAGATTGGCCTGCAAGTCTATTTTAACCATTTAGTAATTTTTTATAGTTTATGAAAATAAATTATACAGCAACTATTTTAATAAATTAAGCACAAAAAGGGAGAGTTGAGGAGAAAAACTAAATGGGAAGACAAAAGCCAGGCCACGCTTTGGCTTGGAGGAGCGCCAGGGTGGCTAGGGGACAGCAGTGGCTGCAGGGGTGTGTGGCTCCCCTTCTCGTAAAGAATTAGCCACCACCGGAGCCCAGAACAACACCCCTCTTTGTTGAGTTTCTTAAAAAACAACCAAAAAATGTACAGCAGTGGCTGTGCCACAGGCAGCACCAGTTTGGGCGTCCCAAAAGCCGGCTGCCCACAGAGCGGTGCCTGGGTTATGCTTGTCCCTTGGAAAAGGTTCTGGGCCTAGCAGAGAGGGGCAGGTCCCTATTCAAGGGAGCACCAGGGATGGAGTGGTCAGACCAGTCTTCCCCTCCCAGCTGAACTGGGGCTCAGGCAGTTTAGGCCGCAGCTCAGAGCGGGGCTGTGCAGTCTGTGATCATCCTGGGTTCTGACCAGAGTGTCCTACGTTTTCCTTACACTCTAGCTCCAGGAGCAACTATGATCGCAGTCCAGCTGCAACCAGAATCATGTCTTCCTGCTGTGGCTGGTTGCTCTTTGCCGGCCCCTTGATGCCTCTTGGCATGGCGGAGGGAGGGATGGCAGAGGTGAGGGAGCAGTTCCCCCTAAATGAGATGAGATGGGCGTGAAGTCATGTCACAGACTCAGCATGCAGGACTGGCTTCCTGGGAGGCAGATGGGAATGGATGGGGAGGGGAGAAGGGGCGCAGGGGACAGGAAGGGGAACAGGAAGAAACTGAGAGGCACCTACCAGGAAGGTCAAGAAGCAATGAAAAGGACAAAGACAATATGGAATCTGCACATAAAGGCAGGCCTTCCCCTGGCAGATCAGTCTCAGTATTTGAAATACAGCTCATTACTCTGTTTCTAACTGCAGCCCTGAGTCCCCAGTGCCTCTCTGTGGTGCGCCCCCGCCTCACGCCTCCCAGGACTCCATTGTCCGTCTTCTCAAGGCCTCCTGTCACTCCGTGCCGAGCACAAAGGCTCCCATGTCAACACAGGACAGGGTCACGGGGCCTGGCAGACTTGACTTTGCCTTCTTCAGCTCTGTGGCCCAATAAGCCTACAGCTACCATGGTGTGTGTGTGGGGGGCGTTCACACTTTTTTTTTTTCTTTTTCTTTTTTAATAAAAAAGGTTTTACTCCCCAGGAGCAAATAAATCATTTTGAACTACTGATAAACACTGCTGCAGTGAAAAGAAAGATGGCTACATGTATGCAATAGCACAAATTCAGTGTAAGAACAGCTGTGTTGACAATTAGAGATAAAAGTCATTTATCCACTCCCCCCTTTCCCACAAACCAAACCAAGAGGATTCCCATAGGGAAAATGTCTAATGCAAAAGCTCCTCCCTTAGGAACAGGGGGCATGGCATCCTCTCAAAAGTGGAAAACAAATGTCAGGTCTCCCCCCAGTGGAGATGCTCTCAACACCCCAGCGGTGGCAAGACTTCTGCAAGTGAAGACGCATACACGCACACACACACGCACACAGACTTTCAGTCCCCCTTTCAGCAGCCACAGGGCTCTATCCCAGTGCCTACTCCTCCAGTCTTGGGGCTCAATGTCAAGGCAGAGGCAGCCGGGCAGGGAAGGACCTAACCTAAGGGAAAAGTTCCTCCTATCCCCACTTTCTGATGGCTCTCCAGGGCATCTGGCTCTACTCCTGTCTCAGATCTAAGGATCTGAGACAACTAGGCCCCCCCCCTCCAACTCCCTAGTTCTTCCTGGATGTGCATTGAAGGGGTGCTTGCAGCTATCTCACATCACTCCCAACCTAACAAGGGCCTGACACCATCAGCCCAAGTGAGAAGTGAGAAAGAAGAAACCACGGAGGTGAGCTCCCTGACAAGCTTTCAGGAGGCTGGTGCTCCAGTCCACAGCTCCCCTCCCAGGGTGTTATATTCACTCTCTAGGCACAGGCAGGCCACCAGACAAGGTCATCACCAGTGGCCCGAACTCCCAGCTGTTACCCACTTGTCCACTAATCCTGTGTTCCTGTGACAGCTCACCCATTTCCACTTATAGCAAGTTGTAGCAGTAGTTATCACCAGCTCACAGTGGTTACGCCTGTCCTGAGGAAGGTTTCAGTAGATCAATCATCAACAAGTGTGCAGGTACTGACATCACTCACCCACTACTTAGAAATTGATGATGGGGTGCTAGAAGTTAGAATATTCTCCAGTTTGTGACAGTTAAAATACAACAAGAAGGACTGAATCCCTCCAATGAGTGCACTTCACTTAGCATTGCACAGACTGCAGAAGAGGGGGTGGGCGCCACCAGGAGAGATGAGGGCAGTGCAGACAATGGCCAGTTAGCTGTTCCTGCTCCCTCCCTGTTTACTCCAGCCAGGCTGGCCTCTCACGCAACTGTCCCACCCTCCACCTCTCCTCATGGAGCCTGGCTCCGCATACCCAACTCGTGCCTTCCAGCCCACTCTACTGAGGAAGGACTAGGTCACAGTGTGGGCTGTGACTAAAACACAGATTATGGACACAGGTAACCACTACCCTTCCCAGAGGAGAATGAAGGACAGTGGTGAGACCAGTCACATCTCCTTAGCTAGTTTTGTTTTATACTTGGATGACATTTCTCCAAATGAAGAATGCCATAGTGGGTACAGAGGTTCTGCCGTCCTCACACAGGCTACGTGGAGAGCAGTGAGGGCCATGGCCATGGGCAGTAACCTGGCTGGCTTTGGGCTCCATTTCACCACTACTACCCCTCAGCATTCAAACTTGCCTGATAACAGGAAGTTGTGGGCTAAACCACTACACTGAAAAGGACTCTTTGATGCTGCTGCTCTAATGTGGGACTGCGCACTGTCCAGAACATGGCATGCAGATTATGGATCCCATGCTTTTATGAGTGCTTCTCACCTCAGTCCAGCCCCCACCTATGATCTGAAGCTTCACACCATAGAGACCAGCTGTGGTCTATCCTGAGACCATATCCACTCTGAATATCTTCAAAGACATCCCTTGATTCTCTCTGGCACACAGAGCCATTCTCCAATTGCTTCATCTGTGGCACTCACCTAGAAGTTCCCTTACACCAAATATCATGTCTTACACCTCTTGTATTTTCCACAATACGGAGCCCAGAGCCAGGCAATCACATGCTAAAAAATGATTTTAAAATTATGGGTGGCTGATGGTTAAAAATGGTTCAAAAAAAAAAAAATCCCAGTCAACTGTACATCAGCCACCTGAAGCTACCGGTGGATTCCAGACAGCAGGTTCTACAGTGGAGTGGAACTTCCTGCAAGGTGGGAACCACTGGTAACCACTACCCTTCCCAGAGGAAGGGTAGTGCACCCTCAAAATCTGCACCCTCAAAAGGCAAGATTCATAGGTTAAGTCAAATTCCTGGGTCACAATCTTAACTAGCTGCCAATACTACTAGGAGCCAAGGAGAGAAGAGGTACCTCACGACAAATCAGTGGTGGCTTACGTTTATGCCACAAAGCTCATTTTGTGGGCCAGTCCTTTATAGCCAGGTAGCAATGCAAGTTTCCTCCCTATTCAGTTATGAGGAGGAAGACTGGCCATTCAATGTGCGACATAGGCAGAAGGCCAATGTTTCCAGAAGGCGCGCTCCTATAAATTACCGAGACACCGGGGCTTCACCCAAAGCAGCAGGAAACCACCAATCTGATATTTTATCTCATGAGATGAGGCAGACATAAACATAAGGGAACCAAAAGAGGCAGCCTCATAGAGTACTTAATGCCAAATAATAATAAAGACCAAATAGTTCAATTTTCACATCCTATTTGTAAACCCTCTTCCCAGAGTAACTCTATAGAAAGGCAAACTCGATAGCATTATACTACTTGACAGTGGCTAGCTTCAGAAAAAATTAGACTGTTGAAAAGCACTCAGATTTTTCTCTCCTCTTCACTTTCACGTGGAAGACAGGCAACTCTCAAATCAGCCTATGACAGACTTTGCAATGAAAGGAGGGCAAACAGTGTCTGCCTCAGGAAAATGTTTGGGTTGCTAGAAAGAACACAGAGAGGAAAGAAGCCCTTGCTACCTCCCATCCCAGAAGTGGGACGACAGTAATAGACCTGGAGATGAGATGTGATGCGGTCCTCCTCCTCTCATCTCAGGAGACTCCATGATGGCTGAGACACTAGGAGGCCTTCTCTGGGAAGAGCAAACTATAATCGCTTGGTTTCTCACATTCCTCCACATCCCCTCTCACTAGCTGACAGACATATGGAGGTAAGTAACACTGACTCCTAAGTCACGGGTACAGTTTGCCACTAAGAATCTGGAAGCATGCTCCATTAACTTTAGCAGCCCATGATTGGAGCTGCTCAGGTGATGAGAAAAACTACTGCTTGACAGCTGGCGGAAGCAATAGGAATGATGTTACCATGACTAGAGTGAAATGTACAGTTATCTCAAGGAAAGGGTAGAGGGTGGAGGAGGAATGGGGCTAACTTGAGGTCACAGAGCTTAGGAATTCAGTAAAATTAATCATGAGAGGTGATTCTGCAATCAGATCCCTAAAACCCTAGAAGGAAAGGACAAGAGTCACTACTTCCCCCAGCAGAGGCCATTTGCCAATTTTTGTCCAATAATCTTCTATTTGAGACCACAGACCCTCCTTACTTTTCTGCTCCTATTGCAGCTACCTAACTGATATGCACTTCTAATTCCTTCTCTTTCCTTCTTCAAGGTCAATGGTAAAGACTAGCACACTGGCACCAGACAAACGACTGTCATTGGCAATCGCCTCTCCTCCCCCCACCTCCCCCTTGGACCTGCTCACCCATTGCACCACTTTCAACATGATGGGGCCAAACCCCAGCTGCCTTTAAGGTGAGTTTTCCATACCAAAAAAATCTAAATCTCCAAAACAAAATTTCTGAAAAAGGAACAGTGTTGAGACTTCTTCCAGTTTTCTAAGGAGCTCATCCAATCCCAGGATAGCACAGGGCTGGATGTGAAAGGTGGAGCCCCACTCAGAGTGTATGGTTGTGTGCTTCTTCCAAGCCCCAGGGTTGTGAGGGGAACCAAAGTCCTTGCAGAGAGGATCCCAACCATTCCTATTTCCTCTGGTTTTTCCTCACTCCTCTTTTCATGGTAGCTTTACTTGGTTCTTCAAACTGGAGCTTGGCAACCAAATGCCTAGGTAAGAAAGGAAAAAAAAGAGTAGTTCAACAGAGCAGAACCAAAATGGAGTGGAGAACAGCCTAGTCTCTGCAAGAAGTACAGCTCAGAAAGAGGAGGGCTAATCAAATGCCTCCACAAACACTGGCCCAACTAGGGATGCAGCAGTGGCCTGAGTAGCCTGTGATTTGGATGTCATAAAAAGGAACTAAAATAATTAACAAATGTATCCCACCACATTTCCTAACTTCTCTTTCCCTTTCTCATACCCCTTAATTTTCCACCCACTTTTTCCCCCTCCTGAGACCTACCTGCTCTAAAGAATAAAAAAGGAACGGAGTCTCAGGAGTTATCCCTGGTGAGCCTGGCCACAAATAGTTGTAGGTGTCTACAGCTTCTGGCTATTAGAGAAGGTTAATAGGTAATCACAAAGGCCAGTGCAGCACTACCTTCTGATTAGCGATATCTCTGTTCTGCTACTCTGTACAGAGTAACCCTACATGAAGACACCAGGTAACAGCACGCCCAGACTAAGTGGTCCAAAATAAAGGCAGTCTGACCAAGAAGTCATTTCACACCTTTAAGATTGTTCCCTTTGGAAGTACTGTTCCCCCCTTTTCAAGGGGCCCTACATCTCCATCAGAAGTAGGTACAGCATGATGTTTATTCTCTGCTTTAGGCAATCATCCCATGTCACAGCAGAGACCCTGGGAACTCAGTTTAACTCACTGCCAATACATGACAGCCCCACACTCATGACAAATGGCTACCCCAACCCTATGCCTGAGCATATCAGGTCCCTTCCCATCGGAAGGTCTTTATACTTATAGGATCTCTTGCCCAGAATGTTCTCTTGTTCTTGACTCCTTGATATTCAGATCTCAGCTAAAATTTCACCTCCTCACAGGATCTTTCCTTGATCATTCAAACTTTAGTATCCCACCACTAACCACTAAACTTCATCTACTTTTTCTCATAATGTGTACTGTCAACTGAAGTTAGTCTACTCATTTATTTACATGTTTGTTGACTGTCTCTCCCCATGAGAATTACAGCTCGAAAGAAAAATACCGGATGGCCTCACTCATAGCAGGAATTTAGAAAACCTAAATAAGGGACCAGGAAAAAGACTAATTATAATAAAGTGAAAATCAAAATCAACAAGCAACTATAAACCAGAGACACACTGGGGTGGGGGAGGAGAAGAGTGGAAGGGGAGAAGGGAGCAGGATCAAAACAAGGGGGGTGGGAATTGTATGGAGACTATAACCAAGATGAAAATGCACACATTGCACAAAAATGAAAAATGATGTAAAAAATATATAAAATTGAAAAAAAAAAAAGAATTACAGCTCAGTGAAAAGAGCCTTTGACTGTCTTGCTCAGAATTCTATTCCCAATTCACACTGGGTATGTAACAAGTGTATAGTTTGTTGAATAAACAAAGATGGCACTTCAAATAAACAAATGAAAACCATTCCATTTTGGGATCTCTCTGCTAAAAAGGGCCTCCTAAAGGTGGACTGAATTCTAAGTTCTCATACTTTCATCCATCAAGGTCCTGTGCTACTCGCTAGAACCACACACAGTTAAGTTTAACCACTCTTAAGAAAATAAATCAAATATATTTCCTCTGGCTGTCAAGTCCCTCTCATCCAAAAACCTCTCTGCTCAATATTAATCACGTGTTCTCTACACGATAGTTTGGAGCCCTCCATCATCATCCTGAGCCTTTGTCAGGACATGTTCCTATTAACATGGGTTCCTCATAGGATAAGGCACCCACAGCAGCGTGCTCTAACTGTAGGGGCCCAATTACTCCTCAAGGGTGTGGTGGCACAGATGGACCTCCCCAGTTCCTTCAACCATCCCACCCTGATAGCAAATGCAAAGCCACCAAGCACAGAAATCCTCCTAGACATTAGGCATTTACATGTTTTAGAAGTCACTTCCCAGGGCAGACAATTTGCATAAAATTAAAGATATGATAAGAGATTATACATGCAGTCCAGGATCCTCAAAGTTAAAACACTGTAGCCTCCCAAAGTTGTATTTCTTGATTTCTTCATTCCTTTCCCCCCTTTGGGGACTCCATGATCGGATCTATGGTAACTATCCGTAGACAGATAACTAGATCAAGGGTATACATTTGGGTTGGGGGAGGGGAACCAGGCCCACTGGATGATAACTACCAGGAAGACAACTGGCTGAACAGTGAGGTAGAGTTCATACCCTTGGTGGTGACCAGCAGGGGGCCCCTTGCTACGTGGAGGGTTCTATCTCTTGCTTCTGTTTGGAAATGAGCTGAGCTTCCTTTAGAGACAGGTATACCTCTTCCTGAGGGTCATAGTAGTAGAACTTTCGGATATAAGAGATCAGAGGTCTGTGAAAAGCACAAGAGGGATACATACAGTGTTATTTATATAAATTTTAAAAGAAAGATCCCCTTTATTCAACCTTCTCTCTTCCATTCCTATATGTTAAGACTACACCACTATCTACCAACAAAATAAAATCCCCATTTTCTCACTCACTATAGTTCGGTCTCCCTCCCTCTCACCACCTCCACTCCACCCTTCACAGAAACTGCAGAAGAGAGGCTAACACACAGACACACCTCCCCCTTCCTTTCTGGCTTCAATGTGACAGTTCTAGAATTAGGTGCCAAGACAAAGGAGAAAGTAAAGGATGATGCCAGTGGATATAGCCAGATTCTGCCTGTGTACTCAGCTCACAGGCCTCACTAACATTTGTAACTAACCTCCCACCTGCCCCAACCCTATTGACCCCATTGTACTTAGGCAGTGGGAGATCTGGGATGTGATCTATCCGGACAAGCTGTCGGATTCGGAATCTGCAGAGGTGCTGGAGAGATTTGACATTGCTGAATCTGGACACTGGATAGAGTAGCTGGACCGGAGTTGGTGGCAGTCCTTCAAGAAAACCAAGAGAAATATTCAGAGGGAACAATGCAGTTAACTACAATTTCTCTTATGAAAAGAATTCAGGGAGGGGAAAGAAATAAAGAAGGGCTCCTTTCTAGCTCAAATGGTGTGTTCTGCAAAAGTTCCCTTCTACAAAGGACTGCTGATTTCCATTTGCAGAAGCACCTCTACCACATTTCACACTGAAGGGAATCTATTCTCCCCTGCAGAGGGCCCTCCTAATATTACTCTTAACAGCTGAGAGTCTTGCTCTTCAGAAGCACCCAGGGAAAAATGCCACACTGGAGACTTTGCTTGGAGTCTAGGCGTCAGGCACTTGGCAAAGGGCAAGAACAAAAAGCATCTCTATGGGGAACAGGAATGACTTTCTCAGCACATCTAGGCAGTATCCTGAGGGTGAGGATACTTTGAATATCTGAATGGATATTCAGAGGGATCCTGATCAAATTCCAACTGAGAGGCTGGTAAGTAGAAGGCAATAGCTGGGCTCAAACTTTACAAGCCTATCTCTTCTGTCATTTACTTCAAATCAGAAAAATCAGATAAGTCACCTCTTATCTCCCTCCTCCTACCACTACCCTTCAAATTTTAGGCTGGGTACAGGAATATTAAAAAAAAAAAAAATAGCATGATGCTCTTAAAAGAAAAGCCATATATTGCTTGGGCAAGCTGGCATTAGTACCACCTAGTAGCTGATAACAGCCAGGCCCGATGAGAGCCCCAGCCCTTCAGGTTTCATCAATATCAGCAGGCTCTGTGCTGGGAAATTCCACCCCCTAACTCCCAAGACTGGTGCCACAGAATGGAGACACCAGGATAGTGTTCAAGGGAACAATAAGCTTCAGTAAGCAAAGGGGCTATAAAAGAAAAACAAGCAAATTGCTCACAGAAAGAATCCGAGTTGCAAAATCTTTGAAAGAATTATTTTCTCAATGTCATATGGAAAGAAATTCTGTACACAAAACTTGTTGGAAAATGAAGTCTCCACTATTTTTTGGAGTTTAATTTCAGTTTCTAAGTTGTGTTTGAAAGTATGAGAAGAAAAGTTTAAGCTTACAACAGATTGCCTCCCAAAGACTTTTCAGGATTATTGACAACTAAGTTTCTGGGGGAAAAAAGTCAACATACAAATTATATTGTTACTAAACTAAAACTTAAAAATAATTAACTCATTCAGTTCAAAACTACACTCTTAGATACATTATCCCTATTACACATATGAAAAAGCTGAGGCCTATATGGTTTTGGGGACTTGGGCACAGAGCCAACAAAGTTGGTCTGCCTGGGACACCTGCTCTGTCTAAAGAAGAGCTTAGCCCCAGAGCTCTCTCCGGGGGATTCTCCAGGGTTGTCCCCAGAGCACCACCCCTCTGCAGTGTGACAGAGGGGGTGTCTCGGGCAATCACAGCACCTTGATTTGTGCGCAGCCTCTCCTCACTCCCACCCCTTCAAGCCTAAGGCTTATTTGTTGAAGTACTGTAGTCCTCAGCCACATGGTTGGTTCCTTCCTCAATATCATTTAAAAAAAAAAAAGAAAGAAAGAAAATGTATTCACACATGATTTCCCTCTTCAATCTATTTATTTATTTATAAATTTATTTATTTATTTATAAATTTATTTATTTATTTATTTGTACAAGCACTGGGTACAGTCAGAAGCGCGGGAGGGTGAGAGAATTCACCAGAGCCAGAGCGGGGAGCAGAGCAGGCAGATGGACCGAAGTACACTGCTGAGGGGAGCAGCGGGCGGCAGGAGAGGTCTGTGCGCCATGTGGGACCCTCCTCCGGTGGCTGGGGAGCAGCCGGGGATCGAACCGGCGCTGCAGAGGCTGCGGGCAGTTTCGTGGCCCTTCAATTTATTTAAACTTAAGTCGTTTTTAAAATAATTTGAGGTTCAGGGGGCCTCCCCTGGTGGCGCAGCGGTTGAGCACTGGGTTGCGAGGCTGCCTGTAGCCTCTACAGCACCAGTTCAATCCTCAACCACTGGCGAGGGTCCCACAAAAAAAAAAAAAAAAAAAATATATATATATATATATATATATAAAATTTGAGGTTCAAATGACTCTTTGAACTTACCCTTTCATTTGTTTTTAATTTTTCTTTTTTTTTTATATAGAGGCATGTTTCTTTCTTTCTTTCTTTATTTATTTGTTTGTTTTTGTTTATACAAGCACTGGGTACAGTCAGAAGCACAGGAGGGTGAGAGAATTCACCAGAGCCAGAGCGGAGAGCAGAGCAGGCAGAAGGACCGAAGTACACTGCTGAGGGGAGCAGCGGGCGGCAGGAGAGGTCTGCGCGCCATGTGGCCATGTGGGACCCTCCTCCGGTGGTCGGGGAGCAGCCAGGGATCGAACCGGCGCCGCAGAGGCCGCGGGCAGCTTCGCAACCCAGCGCTCAACCGCTGAGCCACCGGGGAGGCCCTGTTTTTAAGTTTTCTTTAGTAAGTTAAACTATGGCAAACAAAGTTTTTTGGAAGTTGGTTGTAATATTGCTAAATTCAACATGATGTTTCAGAGACAAAAGTAATTTATGTATCTAATAATTTTTTATTCCTAAAGACATAGTACTACAGGACTTGTGTTTAAAAGAAATCAGGATAATAGGCAGCATACAATTATCCAATTGTTTGACTTCTTGAATCTTGCCTATTTAAGTGTGTTACTTTTACCCTTAGATTTGCAAATAGCTATTTGAAACCTGACCATATACTGTTTGCCCCAAACACAGCAAGTGAGGGAGTTCTCACATCCAGACCATTTTAACAGAAAAGGGTTAGAAATGCAAATAAATCCAAGATGGGAAAGAGCAAGGTAGAATAATGATCATCACTAACTTTACTCTGGTCCTCGTGCCAGGGGTCCTGGGCACAAATTCAGTTTCCAGGACCTCCCTGGTGGCGCAGGGGTTAAAGACAGCGCTATCAAGCTATTACCAGCCACTGCAGCAGAAATTCGATCCCTGGCCTGCCAGGGAGCTAACCCACATGGCACAGCAGACCTCTCCTGTCGCATCCGCTGCTCCCTTTAGCAGTGTATTTCAGTAGATCTGCCTGTTCTGTTTCCCAACTCTGTTTCTGGTGAATCCTCACCCCCCACACCTCTGGCCTGTACCCCAGTTCTTGTATGCATAAATAAATCTTTAAAAAAAAATTCAGTTTCCAGCAACTATTTTCTCTTCCCCCAACATGGACCAGGTTAGAGGTGACAAATCTCCCAAGTCTGAGGATCTGAGCACACAGTTCTTTGTGATACACCAAACTATTACCTGCAGACCAGAATTACCAGCTCAAAATGTCAATACTGCTGGATTGAGAAACCCTGGGGTAAGGGAAAGCCATGTCACTGAAAAAGTAACAAGCTTAACGGTAGTTATAACAGAGGAAGTAGCCAATTTCCTTAGAGTTGTCCAAAGTAAGATTGAAAAAAAAAGCTATTTTTTCTTCATACACTTCACAGATAATGGGGATTTTCCTGACTAAGAAGGACATGTTCACTTTGAATTCTGGCTCTGACAGTGTTTTGTGTTAAGCCAATCATATTCTCTTTATGACTGCTGGCTGGTGTTAGGGATTTGATTTATAACTGTGAAATGGACCAGAGTGAGATATAATCAGTGACCTCAGATTTATGATGACCATGCTCTGACACTGTAAGAGATAAGGGAGAACCAAACTCAGGTGCCATCATTTTTACCAAGAGTCCCTACTCTAGATGCTAATTAACCCATTTATTCTAATTAATTTCCTTCTGCTTCTGATTTGCCACCATTCAGAACTTTCCCATTAGTCAGAGCTTTATGGTTCCTATGATCACTGGAATCCCTTTATCATCACTCTGAATGGTCTGCTAGTACATCAAGCTCTAGATTTGAGTGAAAAAACCTGACTGCATTCCTGGCTCTGCAGCTCACTGTACCTCAGTTTCTAGTCTGTGTTTAAAAGAAAAGAGAGATTGTAATACCCCTTCAAAGGATTTTGTAAGTGTTAATGAAGTAACACTTGGCTCCTTATGGGCATTAAAGTATCACCATCCTAAAGTCTGAACAAACAGGTTCTTTGAGAATTTACTGAGTTAGAATACCTGGGTGATGAAGGCTGATAAAGTGCCATCTAAATGCTAATGACTACCTCCTTCCTCATGCCAATCTTCTCTGATAAAGTCAACCTCATATAATACCTAGGCCGTTATGATAAACAAAGAGGGCAACAAAGGTAAAGAAGAACACTGGCTTTGCCATCTTTGTCCCAATCCTTCAAAGAGAGTTTACTTATGGTCTAGGGCAAATACTAACTCTGCTTTGCCTTTTCAACTTGATTACAAATTTTAAGTGCAAATACGTATCCTATCTACACCTGTCACATTCATCAAAGTTCTCAGAAAGATACCCTCCACTAATAAACACAATTTTTCTTCTTTAGGTAGATCCACAAGAAAGATACCTACCCTCCTCTAATAAACACAATTTTTCTTCTTTATATAGATTCACAAATCCCAGAAAACTCAATTTCCAATAACAGATTGGTGGTAAATAAAGGACAAGATTTAGAGTTACTAGGGGTCTTGGTTTGAATCCTCATTTCAGTAGTCATCAACTGAGTGTCCTTTATTGAGTAAGTAACTTCACTTTTGAGTCTCAGCTTCAGTCTCCTCACTGGCAAAATGAAAACAGTCTTTTATCTATTTTTTTAAATAGGTCTATCTAATGTATAACTTTGGGGTTGCAGTAAGAAATCAGAGATATTTAAATAAAGAACCTGACAAAGAATCTGGCAAATGACAGGCACTCAACAAATAGTAGCAATTACTACCAGTTCTAGGCCTTAATACTAAGACCCTTAGCTAACATTTTTGCAGACAGGGCATACTTGTAGAATGAATCAGCTATACCTAAAAAGCCCGAGATTCTCTCTAAACTCTACTACAGAATAAATACTGTAATAAAAACTCTACTACAGAATAAATACTGGAATAAATACTCCAGACTCCTCTGAGATTTCCCTGTTTCACTCTCAGAGCTGATTACCCTGCCCTTGCTGACCTCTGCCATGTCTATAGCTCTTGCCTTTATTTTTCAACATGTCCCCTCTTTGAGGCTATGAGCATACTGAGGGCAGAGATGTGGTTTATTTTTGAAAACTGTTTGTTAAATAAATAGCTAGGGCCTCCCCGGTGGTGCAGCGGGTTGAGCGCCGCACTGTGAAGTTGTCTGCAGCTTCTGCAGCGCGGGTTCGATTCCCAGCCGGCCAGGGAGATTCCCACATGGCGTGGCAGACCTCTCCTGCCTCGCCCACTGCTCCCCTCAGCAGTGTCTTCAGTCTGTCTGCGTGTTTTGTTCCCCGCTCTGTCTCTGGTGAATTCTCTCACCCTCCCGCACCTCTGGTCTGTACCCCAGTTCTTGTATAAATAAATCTTTAAAAAAAAAATAGCTGTCAAAAAAAGTCATGAACTTTAAAAATTGCTAAGCTGAATCAATCCTGTGAGATTTTAACTTTCCCCTTTACCCAAGTCAACTGCATGAGACCCAACTGTGTTGACAGCACTGAGGCAAATACTAAATGAAGTGAGAATTAATACAGTTTGCACCCTGTCATGCCTTATTTAAATCACCAAGATTATAAAACACATTCCGGTAACCTGGCTCAACTCTGTTACTGATGTTCTGCCTGAGGCTTCCCTGCAACTTCATTTTTAGAGTAGGCGGATGGCATCTTGTTTAAGAATCTTCATTTGATTCAATGGGAAAGCATGAAGTTCTCATTTTAAGTTCTGTTTGTATCTTACAAATTCTTCAATTAATGTGCTTATCATTTTGCCTTTGCCAACACTAAATGTTAATTTCTCCACACCATCCCTTTTGGTCCCCTTAACAGACAATGTATAGGTATATCCCTAGTTAGTGGGCAGGAAAATTATGTAACCACAAGAAAGAGTTGCTCCCCAACTGAAAGAAGGTTTTGTAGTCAACACTGACAGGGATACAAGATATAACAAAAAGTATTTAATTGTTTATAAAAAGGTTAGTATGAAATGAAAATCCATGTAGACTGCTGTTGAATTCAACATCCTTGACACTCACCATTGCCCTCCTAGTGAGCACTGTAATCTTCCCTACTACTGAGAGCACTAACCTCTCTGTTTCAATGTAAGCAAGTGATACATGGATTAGGAAAAAGAAGCCACTCTGAACATTAAATATTCACATGATGCCTAGACATCAAAGGCAAGATCAATTTTTTCATTCATGTGGTCAAAAAAAAGATTACTTCTCAGTAAAGTGAGAGATTTATGTACAAGGGTAGGGGACTAACCATTATATTCTAGGAATACAGAGTCAGGAAGAAACAGCCTCAAGTAAATGTGGCTTTTGGGGTTGGAGAGTATAGGAAGAATGCATTTTGATACTATACTGGATATACCCAAGTAAGTTAATTAATATAACCAGAATTACAGCCTTACCTGGAACCCTGGATCTCAAGAAATAGAGAAACTTCCCATTCTTGGAGTGCATGATGGCTCTCTTAATGAATTCCACCACTGACTGACAACGATCCTCAAACTTAGGATGACACCACAGACTGAAGGTTCCTGCCGTGAAAATTAAGGAGAGGTAAAAATATAAAATTTATATCTGGGAAGCTGGTTTGAACATTTTAATGGTTCTTACTTTGGGGAGAGTGGTTTGTGGACAAGCTGAGTCAGACAAAGGTCTCTGAAGCTACCTGTTCCTGCTTGTTCCACAATTAATGAAAAAAAAAAAAAAGATGTTGTTTTTAATAAGACATAAACTAGGTCTTATTAGGCTTTTGTTAATAATAAATCAAATCAGAAAAGATATGAAAAGATTTTATCAAGTATGAACACTGACCCTTAAATCATAGACCATAAGTCTGATCATAACAAAAGCAAGTTTAAATGACATCCCCTCAGGAAGATCAAAGTCTGCTAGTGTTTGTGGAATAATGGAGGAAAACAGAATGCAGTTCTGTGGTCTCAATCATTCACGGGTATGTTAGGCACACAAAAAAAATCTAATCCTAAATCCCATGCCCCAACATAATACAAAGATCCCAACCCAAACCTAGAATACCACAGGCAAAAAGTAATCTTAACTTCCATGACTTAAAAAAAAAACAAACTCAAAACTCCAAAGGGGGCCTCCCCGGTGGCGCAGCGGTTGAGCGCTGGGTTGCGAAGCTGCCTCGGCCTCTGCAGTGCCGGTTCGATCCCCGGCTGCTCCCCGGCCACCGGAGGAGGGTCCCACGTGGCGCGCAGACCTCTCCTGCCGCCCGCTGCTCCCCTCAGCAGTGTACTTCGGTCCTTCTGCCTGCTCTGCTCCCCGCTCTGGCTCTGGTGAATTCTCTCACCCTCCCGCACTTCTGACTGTACCCAGTGCATGTATAAACAAAAACAAAAACAAACAAGCAAATAAATAAATAAAACATGCCTCTATTTAAAAAAAAAAAAAAAAAAAAAAACTCCAAAGGAATCAACCACAAAAAAGATACTAATCAGTCAAGAGAACTGCAGATCTGAATCTCTCTAGCTACTCTTACAGTATCACTTATAAAGATGAAGACAAATGTTCCATTACAAACTGGTAACTGAAAGAGCTGCAAGACTTCTATTAAAAATTCCACTTATCCAAGGAAGAAAAGTCCCTTTGAACAAAAAGTAATCAGAGAACCATTTGAAAAAGCTCTTTCATTCCTGGCATCTCACCTATCAGGAACTCAGAGGTCAAGCATTTATTCATCATTCCCAGGGCCTAGTCATTTATCATCTTAATAGGTTTATAAAAATACTTCACCCTAAAATGATTTGTTTTGTATTTGTTTGATTTTTGCTTTTAGGAATAGGAGGGAAATAGACAACAGTCTATCTGAGATTTATCTAATAAATTCTCAAGTCTTTGAACTGAAGCTCCTTTCTTTTCATGCATCTCTAAGACAGCGGTAAGAGCAGAGAAACTATGGACACAGCTCTGCTGACCTAACAGCTACCTCCTGCTTCACAATAAAAGCAAACCAAATAAATCCAGCAGACCATGGTTAAGAATAGAAAATAAATGGTGGTGTCTGAGAAAAGCATGTAAGAGACTCTTGAGATGATATGTCTAATGTAGTTCATTTACACTTGAACACAAGTAGGGAGAGTGTAAGGGGTGGGAAGGTTAAGTCCCTGAAACTCCACAAAGTTCCCAACACCTTTTTTACTTGCAGTATATGCAGATGTTTTGACAAAGGATGTATTATCCAGCCCTACCGCCAATGACCATCATAAGCTTCTGGCCCACGTCAAACACAGAATGTCCCAATGCAAAGTCAGTCCCAACAGCAGAGTTTAACAAGTCAGCTGCTAGACAGGAGTGGAACATTAAGCACAACCTAACCATAACAGAGGAGGTACCACCAGGGAGGCAGGCAGAGAGTCTAAAGTATGTTAATTCCATAATCTCTCAGAGTTCTGATGAATATTTCCTAAGAGACCAGCTGACTAAAAGAAGAAAATATTACCATGTTGTCTGGCAGTAAGAGCTGCTGTGACTGTCAGGCAAAGAAATTCAGAATAGAGGACCTCTGGTAGCGTAGGGGTTAAGTCTCAATGCTATCACTGCGATGGCCCACAGCAAATGCCTGAGTTCAATCCCCGGCCAGGGAGCTATCCCACATGGCGCAGCAGACCTCTACTATCTCACCCGCTGCTCCCCTTAGCAGTGGATTTCAGTAAATCCACTCTGTCTCTGGTGAGTCCTTTTACCCCTGCACCTCTGGCCTATACCCCAGCTCTTCTATGCGAACATAAATCTTTTTAAAAATAAAAAATAGGGCCTCCCTGGTAGCGCAGGGGTTAAGTCTCAGCACCACTAAGCTATCGCCAGCCACTGTGACATCAATTCCATCCCCGGCCAGAGAGCTAGCCCACATGGCGCAACAGACCTCTCCTGCCTCGCTGGCTGCACCCCTCAGCAGTGTACATCAGTAGATCCACCTGTTCTGCTCCCCACTCTGGTGAATCCTTTTACCCCCTGCACCTCTGGCCTGCACCCCAGTTCTTGTATGCATAAATAGATAAAAAATAAATCTTTAAAAGAAATTAAAACGTTAAAAAAAAAAAAAGAAAAATTCAGAATAGAAGCATCACAGGACCACACTAGATTCTCCAATTTGTGTGTATCACTTAACAGAAAATATCTTTAGATAGTAAGTCTAATTATGAATAAAGCATGGGAGTGGTTCTAGGTTAATTCTTCTTCCTACCAAGAGAGTTTTACTGGCTTTGCTCTGTTCTTCGATATTTCTTCTAGTGACTGAAACCAATGCCCAACACTCAACTGACTCTATGAGATCTTTCCCCCTATTTTAAATTCCATCTCTATCAATCCTTCCTCACAAAGTCAGACAGCAAAGCTAGAGAAAGGCAGTGGGAGGTTGGGTTTTCTTCCAATACAGCACCTCTTACCTCTGTAGTGTTCCATTCTAGTGTGGTGGGTAATACCCTGTGATCGGAAACTGAGGCTCAGGATGTAACGAGGATCAGAGCTGTCCCGTACCAGGAAAGAGCCATCTGGCTTCCCTTTTAACTTCATCTCTGCATCTTCCCAATTCATTGGCCCCCAATACCAACCACACTATCAACGACAAGTAGTGTTCAAACAGTTAACAGAATAGAGAAATATCAATGTTTTTAACATCATCTATCTTACCACAAAAGAACACCCTTCCTTCCCCATTCTCCAAAACATTTCAATAGGTTAAAAGCTGCTAAGAGTGTCTCAACTGTTATCAGTGAACATCAGGTTTATTACACTTTCTAGCTCTCCAAAGTTAACAGACCAATAATACAATTTCATTAGCAAGACCCTACAAAGAAGAGACGAGGGAACTGAGTCAAGTTGTCTATCAGTTTCAGCTTAGATGATGTAAACATTTCTCTACAACCTTCATCACATTCAGATTTTCCCTCCAACATTTGAGTTTTAAGATATCCCTTGAGGAATTAATAATAGTAGCATACTGTTTTGGCTCTGTAAACACAGAGGCATGGAACTTCCTCTGTAAATAAAAGAAAAGCCCAGTATGGAATTAGGAGAGTGGAAGAGAAGGCCAGTGCCAGTCTTCAGGAAGACCTACCTTCTCCAACTCTCGAAGGCTGGCTGCAAAGCTGCTTGAGTCGGGCCGGTAGAGGGGACACTGCAGGTGCTGTGGGGGCTGGCTGTGCAGGGATTCAGCTGCTCGGATAGGAGTAATCCGGGGAAATGCATCTGTAGGGCAAGAGAGTGGTGGTCACCTGCTTACCTTCATTGCTCCCAACTGCAAATAGACCCTCCCCCAAAACAGAGATGCTAACTGAAGAGGGGCAAGGCATTAGAAGCTAAGCTGGAAAGGGTGGAAGCCAAAGCAGTGGGAAAGAGCTTGATGGGCTAGAACAAAAAGCTGTGTGGGCTCGTGTAAGCTGTGAAGGATGGGTGGGGGCATTTAACCCCAGGAAGGGGGTAGGGGTGCTGCTCACTAACCTGACTAAGGTGACTACTTCAGGGGCTTCACCAGCCTAGAGCGATGCCAACTTCTCCCACCTCGAGGTGAAGTGCCGGTAAAGCAGCCTTGGAAATAGTGACTCGTTTACTTGCCCAGGAAGAGTAACGATTTTGCCAGGCAAGTAGAAAAGAATGCCGATTTCATTCATTTTATTCCTTGGGTACTGGAGGCTGGCAAAGCAGGTATGGGCTACTAAATTCTTGGTACTTATTTACAAGGCTGCAGTAAATACTAAAAGCTTAGAAAAACCACAGAACTTTGAAAACCAGCAACATATTAAACCTCCTTACTATCCTGAAATTGAGGCAATTTCTTTAAGTGACATCTACTCAAGGGTTGCAAAAACAGTTTCATAGAAAATATATGAAAAATTCAGCTCTTCATCAGATTTAATTCATGTCTCTTTATCACATTTACCTCCAGAAAGAAAACAGGTTAGAAAAAACAGTTCTTGGTTTTATTTCCAAGAAGTTCTGATTTAGCCAAGGGGATAAGATTTAATGTTTCTCATAAATTCTGTTATTTACATAAATAGATTTCTCCCATCCTTCAAAAGTTTGCCACTTGTACTCCCAAGTCTTGCCTCTAAGCTAAGCTAACCTGGGGCATGGGGTGGAGGAGGCGGAGGTAGGGGGAAAGACTGCAGGGAAGACCCCATCGGAGCCACAAGGACAGATGTAGGCAGCGTCCCACTGATATCATCTAGAAGAGAGAACAAAGGCAAGAGGTTCAGAAATATGAGCACAGAATGCACAAGGTAAGGTAGTAGAGAGGGAAAAGATCATCAGGCTGCCCTCGGGGGCAAGATGGCCTGACCTTCACCCTGTTTTTTCACATAGTGGGCAACAATCATCTTAATCTGTTTTGTTTTGCTTGGAAGTAGGAAAGTAAGGATACTCCTGGAACAGCCAACTAGCAGCGGATTCAGGGTCAGATCAGTATAGATCTAATGAACATATGGACAGTAAATACTATAGCATGCAGGTAAGAGACCCATGTAACCACTTAGGGAGGTAACAGGGGTGCTGAGAAAGGGACAGGAAATAATCGTACATTAGAAACAATCACTAGAAGCTCTGGAGCTTATCTGGCTCCTGGCAAAGAATAACAGGTCCCTAGAGTTCACCCTCCCAGTATGGCAACAAAGCAGAGAAGGAAGAGGATTGTACCTAGGAGGCTGAGGCTTCTTCTCGGAGGAGGAGGGGGAGTTGGAGGGTGTGGAGAGGTCAAGCCCCGCTGAGAGATGTCCACATCCACAAGCGACACTGTTTCACCTGGGGGATTCGCAGAGCAAGCACATTATAGAAGCACCTTGTCCAAAACTAAGGCCAGAGCAACGAGCAAGCAAGAGACTAGAAGCCCATGGTTTTCAAAAAGCTCAAAATCCAACGCTCCCTAGGAATGGATTCACCCCTGAAAACCAGGGAAGTCAATTTTAAATTTTTTCATTTCTTTGCCCCATTTATTGTCTGGGATTGACAATGGAAGAGCCAACTAATTGTACTTCTGTCACTGATAATATAATCTTGAACAAGCAGTCTTTTTTTGGGTATTTTTTAATTGAAGATTTGATACTTGTATATACAGCAAAATGATCAGTCACCTCTGTAAGTCTAGTTAATATTCACCACCAGAGAAAAAATTTTTTTGTGATGAGAACTTTTAGGATCAACTCTCTTTAGCAACTTTCAAATATGCAATAAAGTATTATTAACTAGTCACCATCCTGTACATTACATCAAAGGAGTCTTCTTTTACTAAATGGAACCCACACCATTTCATTTTACAGGCTTATATACCAATTTCCGTCTCAGGGAGCCAGGAAAGTAGCCTATTACAAGCCCAAATGGACATGGAAAGTAAGTGTCAGAGAAATGTAAGAACTGCATGTTTAGCTGCATGCAGATAAAGGTCCCAATGTCAGTCCCAACTTCTTCCTAAATGATTTCCACATCTAGATTTTTCCAAATTATTCATTCATAAAAAAACCCAATCATTTTAGATATCAATTAATTCCTATTAGCTGAGGCTACAAAGGTTGAAAAGCACATTTACAAGTCTAATAATTGGTACTTCCACAGTCAGTTAAAAGTCAGGTAAGCTTAGAAGAAACTTCTCAGTAGCAACTCAGTGGGGGATGGCATACTTTCCAATATGCCATGCAGCTCTTTTCTCTGTCACATATATACTCCTTGCCACCCAACCCCATTAACTCTCAAGCAGATGAAGGGTGTATTATTAATAAAGGTTGACAGCCAAAAATAGGTTTGTTTGGGTAGGCCTGATCTACAGGTCAGGACTTAGGAATTCTCTATTTGGGCCACTACAGTGTTACTTCCAACACCATTTTCTTACTTTCCATGTTAAGAATTTTCACATTTTCAGGTAAGAAAATAAAGTAACCAATATCTCCAAAATGCTAGGAATTAGGCTTTCAGAATCTAATACATTTTTTTTAAAGATTTATTTATTTATGCATATGAGAGCTGGAGTACAGGCCAGAATTGTGGGAGGTGAGAGGGGAACAGAACAGAGTGGGGAACAGAACAGGCAGGCTGACCAAAGTACACTGCTGAACGGAGCAGCAGGTAAGTCAGGGGAGGTCTGCTATGCCATGTGGGTTGCTCACTGGCCGGCAGGGAATCAAACTCATGCTGCAGAGGCTGCGGACAGCTTCACAGGTTGCATCTTAACCCCCTGCACCAGGGAGGCCCTCTAATACAGTTTTGTACAAAGGTCTTGAACACTAGCTTCTAAAAGTCATCAGTGAAGTTCTAGGAAGCTGGTGCCAGACTCATCACATCATACAACTTGGTGACTAAACCCAGAGCAATGCAATGAGACCAGCCAGTGTTTCCTCAAAAGCCACAAGGGTCTCGATTGAAGGTCTAATACTGAACCTGAAACTACAAAGTGGATGTTACTTACTTTTAAAAAGGAAACAAGTACTAACTAGAAAGACATGCTGCTACCTGGTAAGATTCCTTAATTCTGGGCTTGGGGTTAAGAATAGAGACACATGGCCTCCCTGGTGGCACAAGGGGTTAAGTCTCAGCACTGTTAAGCTATCAGCAGCCACTGCAGCATGAGTTCGATCCCAGGCCAGGAGCTGACCCACATGGTGCACCCGCTGTCTCACCCGCTGTCTCACCCGCTGCTTCCCTCAGCAGTGTATTTCAGTAGATCTACCCGTTCTGTTCCCCCACTCTGTCTCTGGTGAATTATCTCACACCCCCTGGCCTATAAGCCTGCTCTTGTGTGCATAAACAAATAAAATAAATCTAAAAAAAAAAGAACAGAAACACCCCTCTCCCTTCTCTACTTATGCCTATTATACTGGTTCTAACAGCTCATGGCAGTGTACGTAGTAATGGGGAGAGAGGGGGTTACAACGGCATGCTCAACATCTTCCTAGAAATGTCCATTCCCAAATCACGATTCTTCCAATCATTTTTTTGGCCACCAGGGAGGCCCCTCCTCCAATCATTTTTTTTTTTAAAGGGGACATAATATCCTAGTTTGAAATCAGTAATTTTTTTAAGGCTTTTCAGCACAACCAATGTGTATTCAGTTTCTGACACTGGAGCTAGCGTTGTAAAGACCTTCTTTCTACATCTACAGGCAAGAGTCTCACATATGACTGACATAACAAAAGGTCTCACTCTCTGAAACAAAGTTTCCCATTAAAGGAGAAGGCAGTTGCCCAAAGGATAGTTAAAGGCTTTTCCTGCTTTAGCAACTGTGTTCCCCACTACAAGAGACTTAAATTAGACACCATGAAAAACTAACAGCTGCAAGAACTGCTAACCCCTAAAATGGGTAAGACGAGAGTTCATGTAATCCCCTTAACCCAATGTCTTTAAAAATAGAACAGATAATCATGAATGTTTATTAGATAATCCATGAACTCCCTTGGAAGTAGGGACAGGAATAGTAGGACATCTAGAGAGTTCCTTATGTACTGTGAGCCTATAAATTTGTAATTCCTACTTTTGATTTATATGTGATGACCCTGAACTGAAGCACTGCATTACTGTTAGGGCCACCTAATTACCAGCAAGTCATCTCCACTTCAAAGTATAAAGCATCCAAAGGCAAGAACACATTCCACACCATAAAAATAGCCTCTCCCCAAATCCAGCAGGCATGGAATGAAGAAAGTAACTGCAGGCATGCTGAAGCTCTCTCTGTGGTGCATCTGCAAGTGTTTCCTGACAGGTCTCGGAACACTCCAGCTTTCAGATGTCAGAAGAAAAAGAAAGAGATCACCCTTACCTGTGAACAGGGGGCTGAAGGAGACCGGAGAAAAGGCACTTTGAGTTCTTGTCAACCTGGGTTTCCTAGGGGGTGAGAAAACACACAGATTAAGGGAAGGGTGGGGGATGAACACATGCATTTAAATCACTATAACACTCAGTTTCAGATACACTGGGGAAAAAACCCTTGTTATTGTCAGCAACACTTTTGTAATAAAGCCTAAAATTTAAAGGGGGAGAATGAAATAATTAGGCAATTCCTTAAATAGATTTGGCTACAGAATTCACCAGCCTACAAAGTAATGAGAAATCCCTTTGGATCGTTCTATATTCAGCACATTAAAAGAGTAAAATACCTTGGGTGGTAATTAGCAAGTCCATTTCTAGAGGAAGGAAGTCAGATGCAGAGTTGATTTTTGTATGGGAGCCAAGAAAAAGACTCTTGACCTGAACAGGTGCCATCTCAGAGCAACAGCTCTCCCATTGGGCCTGCCCCCGAGGAGCAGGACACCTGACAGTGAACCAGGGGATGTATTCGGACTTGAGAACAGCCCTACAGGATGCATCAGCAATCTTCAACCACTAAGACCTCTGCACAGCTGGGTCAAGGACATGAGCTAAGAGAGGACTCTCCTCAATTTAGAGGCTCTGCCTAAAAACCAAAAAAGATTGTCCCTTCCCTCCTCTGAGCTGCCAGTCATAGAGCCTGTGACATATTCTTGATGCTGCTCTAGGGAACCATCTTGAAAACCTGGATCTAGTGGAGACATGTACCAGATACACTAAAGGCAACTTCACTGTGTAACAATTTCAACTTGCTTTTCATTGAAAAATGCAAGAAATACAAAAGATTTGGACAAAGACTTTCTGGATAGAAATGTGCTAGGCTCAAAAAACTCACCTCATGAAGATGGAAGTAACTGCAAGGAAAAGAATTTGTGTAGGTGAAAACATGCTGTATCTTGATTGTGGAAGAGGTTGTGATGACTTTATACATTTGTCAAAATAGAACTAGACACCAAAAAGATTCTGAATTGTAGACAGTATATAAATTACACCTCAATAAACCAGACTTTAAATAAATTTTTCAACTATCAGCTGTACCAATGGAGAGGGGGAGAGTCAAGAAAATCCAAAATAAAATCCTATTTAAAAATATTTGACTTAGGAAGATTTTTATGCATTTATGTTTTAATATAAAGTTTGATTCTCAGGATTTACTGCAAAGAAAATTTCAAAACCATGCCCTGAAGACCTTACTCAGAAATGGCTGAGTCACTGGGTTGCCTCTCACATGCCCGCTGCAACCCCTCTGTGCTGAGAGTCGGGAAGTCTGATGAGGGTGATGACTGTGAATGCTCTGCCCCAGCACACACAGGAGAGGTGATTGCATCAAAACAAAACACAAAAACACAAGTCCCATTTATAAAAGTTTCTCATGACAGTCTGTAGCTTTGTTCTATCACTTCCAAGTGCTGGAATGGAAAGTATATTCCACTGGACATGAACTTTAAGACCGAAAAGTTTCCAAGCTGATTTTTATTTGATTAATTGTGGATATAACATTAAAACTCAGCAAGTAGAAACCTAAAGCACTGGCCTTTCAAAAGGTTTATACCTCAGCCATTTGGCCGTTTGCCTCTTTTCAAAGGAAGCTGCATTACTCTGCCATCTGCCCAAGCTAGGGACGAGTCTCTTCAGTGCCAAGCACTGAAGAACGGCAGTTCCCAAATGCACACATCTTGCGGAGGCCTTCTCGCTCCAGCTCATCTTCTCCCCCGCCCCCGGCATTTTGAAGAAGAAAATCATAGTTTCTAGGATCTAGAAAAAGAAATACATTGGACTCTAAACCCAGGCAGAGCCATCTCAGAAACCTGGGATGATTTCTTCCAGCAAATAAGTGAGGCCTAAGAGCTAGGAGCTTGGAGAGGTAGAAGGTCTAAGAGGCTGAAGGCTAATAATAAATATGAGTTCTTCCTTCTCTCTTTAGGGAGATACTGTCTAACTGAAAATCCAAAGCAGTTTCTGTCTCAAGGATCCCGAGAGCATTCTAATGGCAGTCATTCATGGAAAGACCAATCTAGACAACTATAAAAAAGAAAAAGCAAGGGAATGACTAACATAAAATTGAGGATGGTGGTTACTGGGAGAGGGAGGCAATATAATCAGGAAGCAACACACAGGGGTCTCCAAAGGTACCAAGAGCAGTCTATTTGTTAAGCTTAGAGACGGGTTCCTAGGTATGCATTTCATTATTATACTATATACACATTATATATCTCCTTTTGTATACATGAATATTTAAAATGACAAAAGTCCATTCTAAGCTGGGTGTATTGTTGTTTTTTGTAGAGCAGCAAACGCTTCCATACTACATTCCTGTGTTATTTTATTCCTCCCCAGACCATCTTTACATTAGGGTGTAAATAGGGTGTAAAGTTATGCCACTATAACTTTGCCAATGGGCCACTTGCATCTCAGCAGCAGAGAGACATGAGAGATGGGGTGGTATAGGATTTGGTGGGCTATGCCTCAGGTCACAAAAGAGGATAGGGACAGCAAAAGGCCTTGAGCAAATGTCTTCCTTGAAGTTAGCAGTCCTTTGTGTCAGTTACGCATTGCTTGTGCTGCAGGTTAATAAAAAGACATAATGCCTCTGTCCATTGCCACTCTGCAAATTACTCATCTGGCAACAGATCTACGGGATTAAGAAGTTAAAAACATTAGATTAGACAGGCCAATAAGACATGGAATAAACACTGGCCATTTTTCAAACTCCTTGAAACCTAAAATATAAACAATGAAATAGTAATGTCATCCATCTCTTGTCCATAAATCTCATTACTGACATCCTATAGACTTACACGTGTCCTTTACTAAAATAACCTCAAATTTAGGATGTCCAAATATCAGGTTTTGCAGCCCTAATGTACCTCTGCCCCTACTAAAGCACACAGTGCCAATTCAGCCAGCCTGTGCCATTTCCAACACGTCATAAGCCAGTGTCTGTTCATGTGCTACAGGCACAAAAACCATGTGTTCGTTTTTAGTTCCAATACACAGACATCTGTGCAGCAAGGTCAGATCCAAAACTCCATCATAAACCAACTAAAGAATCTATAGAGGGAACTTCCAGGGAAAAGCCAAGAAGTATAATCCAAGGTCTAAAACTTTAGGAATGATGTTAGTAGGGGGAAATGTAAAGAAGGGAAAGACACAAGACCCAAATGGACAGACAGAGATTGCTGTAGCCAGGTTGCTCATTCCAAAAGAGAGCTGCCAACCACAACCACTTTGTGGAAAATAGTTAAAAAGTTCAACACAGTATAGACCCAAAACCCAAACATAAAGTCAGAACTTCCTCACCACACCATAAAATGTTCTCAGTGTGTTATCCTATTTCTCAAAAAGACCCCCTTAGACCTGAAGACCCAAGGAAACAGAGAAAGGGTTTCTCATATCTGCCAGGTCTGTCCACAACAGCAGGGTTCCAAAACGACGCCAAAGCAGCCTGCCTCTTTCCAGAACTATATCCTTTTTTCCCAAATAGATAGGAAACCACTACAGAACTGTTTTCCATTTTTCCACTTCACACTATGAATACAGCCAGTAATGGCCCTAAACAGTTAACCTGAAAGAAACACACCTTGAATAATGAACAAAGTACTCCCAACCAAGTATGCGATTTCCTGATAATTCAAAACAATCACATCAAATGCTATATCTCACCAAATACAAAGGAAGACAATCAGCTCAACATACATGAAACAGACAAGGGAATGTCACTAGTTTTCCTGAAATAGCAATCCTACATTACATGAGGCCCAAAGGCATCAAGCCCAGCTCTTTAAATTCCAACATATGTGTTACAAAGCCTAGCCCAATTCTCCAGAACAGAAATCTGACTAGTTGGTGGGCCCATTTCTTCTTTAACTTGAAGAGTTCTCTAAGCTAATTCAAGTAGACTAGAGACTCCATATATATCTAGTCAGGTCCACTTGGCAGACTCTAAAGCATTTGAAGTTTTGCATAATGTTAAAATGTGGGAACTGTTAAGTCTTATAAAATGACTGTAGGAAGTAATTTCTAGCATAGCTGTGGGAAAGGTAGATGTTGAGAAGAGTAAGAGAATCATGCCCAGAGGTTCCTATAAAAGCCCCCAATTATACAGCAAATACTGCAGAGACCCATAATTAATTCCAACAACGAGGAGGAAGACATATACCTTCTAGCAAAAGACTGGCATTTCTCACGGCTAGAAGCCTTGAGTCCGCTCCATCAAAACAAGAGAACAAGCTAAAAATCCAAACTCATCCTTCCTCCTAACTTACTTAGAAGGTATAGATCTACAGAAATCACAACTACTCTGGCCAGACTTACCAAGTTTCTCACAATTGCAAGGCTGCCAACAAGACTGGCACATAGTAAGCTGTGGAAAAGCTAACAAGCAAATCTAACAGCACAAATCCTAAGCACAAAAATACCAGTTCAGTCTTATTACTTCTCCAAAAGCACAAAATATTCCATTTCAATTTCACTTGACTTCACTCCATTCCCACAAGGACAGGAACATGACAGGAACCACTCCCATTTTACAGATGAAAAAAAGGAGGGGGGGGCAAGAAGATGACAAATTTGGCCTGTGTCCCATGGCTGATGTTGGTGTTCTAAATGGAACCTAGATTTTCACATTCTCTGTACAACATGCTCCCTGCTAACTGCAGTCAACCAAACGTTCATATACAAATACCAAGCTCTTCTCTAATTCATCAGAAAAAGCCCTTGGACCAAAAAATGTAATTCTCCAGTGCCCTGAACTAAGCTTCTTTGCAGAGCTACAGCCCAATTTGCTCTGCAGCAGAAATCTGTATTGTGCTTAGTGTGAGGGCTGGTGACAGAGCAGCCAATGACCATTAAATTCTGCTTCCAAAGGCAAAAAACCGTATAATGTTATATGCCTTTTCCTCTTCCTAATCTATTAGACGTACCAGCTAATTTCACGCCACACCTCATATTTGGCGTCTCTGGAATCCGAGACCAAGTCCTGGTCAATACAAACAAAGGCGAGACAGACCACAAGAAAATTAGCAATCTATCCTATGTCATTACCCACAGTTTCAGTCCTGCCCTTCCTCATCTGATGAAAATTTCATCTGTAATGGTAAGTGGAGCATCAAATGCAGAGCCTACTACCAAAAAAAGCTGTTTCAGCAGTCACACGCTTTCTAAGACCTAAACTCCCAGTTTCATTCATTGGGAGGCAAATGCAAAAACAGGCCTACCTGCAGAAGTAACAGGCATCAACCCACTGGTTTCTTAGTGAGTTTGGGTTTTTAGGCTGATCTTCAAGGTGAGTCCCCGGTACAGCTGTTCAGAAAGGCCACAAAGTCAAACTGACCCCACACTTTCCTCTTGGAGTAACCAAAACAGAATTCTATGGATGGGTGGCTCCCCATCCAGGTCATACTTCAGAATTTACTGGGGAGCTTTTTAAAACTTCAAATTCTTGGACCCTCAGAATCACTTTTTTTTTTCCAAAAGCTCCCACATGATTCTGGTACGCACTGAAGTTCTCAATTTATTTGCCCACCTGCTCTTCAGCCTTGGGTTAGGGCTGCCAGTATCTCAAGGATCCATCACTTGTGCCACATCAAAATCAATTCCAAATTTTCTACCCATTCAATGGTACAAAGCACAATGGCAGTTCCCACAGGAAAGTCACTGACACAAAAATCAAGAGCTTTGTAAACCAGTATTACAGATCTAACACTGGATGTCAGAGAGCATACCCCACCCCCCTTCACCCCTAGAAATGCAGGAAAATGTCAATGTCTAGGTTTGGAAATTTTCATCAGTAGGCCTAGAGTTCATGCACCAAAGTCTATTGCTCATACTAAGCATTCTCACATGGGTTTGACTGAAAGCAAAGCTAGTTTCCATTCTCACAGGCAGTGATCAGCACGCAGAACTGAGATAAGTATATCTAAGCACCAAATCATCAGGAAAGCATTAAAACTCAGAACAGAGATGCTCAACTGACTGTGGGCCTACAACTGCACAAGTCTGTCACATCACTTATATGCACAATTGTTAAGGAAGTGGGGTGCTGATATACAGAAAAAAATTATAAGCATGATGGTCAAGATGTAACACCAACTTTTTGCTTGCCCCAAAGGCCAAACATTTCCAACAACCTCCCTGCCAAGGATAATGGCAGGCTGACACCTTGGAAAAACTTTAAAAGCTGGGCCAAGGTGGAGGAGGGGCTAATTTAAAATCATTTCCCAACTAGAAAGCTGTTAACCAGTGGAGAAATAAGAAGGGGAGTGAACCTTTAGAGAAAGCTGTTCCCCCAATAAGCTCTGACCCAATGAGCCATGTCACCACCTTTAGCCCCAAGTCTCTTTCTCTTCATGAAGCCCACACAAGAATTGTCGGGATCGTGTTAGCAGAGGAATAAATGAGAAATGTACAAGAAGTTTTTTGGTCAGGCCCCTAGCCGGTCTCACCTCCCCGCGTCCAGCTCCCGGCCCGCAGAGCCTCCCATATCCGTCAGGCTCGCAGCTGAAGCAGCCAGCTCTCCAGAAGGCCTCTTGCCGGCCCCATCCACACCGCCGGAGGAGCCACCGTTGCAGCTCTTCGTGCGAAAGAGGCGACTGAGTCGGATTTTGAGGGAGCCCTTCCGAGAAGGGCCCGCCAGAGGCCGGAGGGGCGCGGGAGGAGGCGGGGGCGGGGGCGGTTGCTGCTGCTGCTGCTCGGCTCTACTCAAGCGCCCTGGGGGAACCAAGTCCTGCAGCGGGAAGGGCACCGGGGGTAATTCAGGGCCTGGGGGCTGCAGCAGGAGCCGGCCACCCACTCCTCCTCCGCGGCCCGGGCTGCTGAGCTCCTCTTCCGAGCAGCTGTTAGTCTCCAGGCTCTCGGCCTCCGACTCCAAGCCCTCCAAAACCAGCAGTGCGTCGCTCGTTTCCGTGGGGTCCTCGCCGGCCTGCCGGGCGGCAGCAGGCGGCTGGGGCTGCGGAGGGGGTGGCTGCGGGGGGCACGGGCACGGGCAGCAACCCCCACCGACCGTCTTGATCCCTGGCCCCGCCGGCTGCCTGAGCCCCAAAGCCGCCAACTGCGCCTCCAGTCCAGCCGCCGGGCCCCAGGTCCGCTCCAGCGCCAGCCCCGGCGGCAGGGCCTTGGGGTCCAGGGCACAACGGTGCCGGGGACACAGCAGTTCCGAGGGTCCGGGCTCCGGGGCCGCCTCCGCGTCCTCCTCCTCGGGCGGCCGGCCCACGTTGCGGAACACCATCAGCTGCGGCGGCCGGGAACCCCGCGGGCCGGGCCGCGCAAGGAAGGGTGGCGGCGGGGGGCCATGGCCCGGGGGCGGCGGCGGCGGCGGGCCTGGCTCGGGGGCCGCCTCTCCATAGCCGAGCAGGCGGCTCAGGACGCGGTACGAAGCGGCCGCCGCCGCCGCCTCGCCATCCCGGAGCTCGGCCCCCTGCATCGGAGAGAGGGAGGGAGGGCGGGCGGCTGGGAGCCGGGCTGGGGTGGGGACTAGGCCGGGCCCCGCCGGAGCCCCGCCCGCCGCGGCCCCCGGAGCGACAGCGCTAACGGCCGCCGCGGCCTCAGCCTCATAGAGAGGGGCGGGGGGGCGCGCGGAGCCCTGCGCGAGCCCAGGTCGCTCGCCGCCGCCGCCGAGGGCCGCCCCCGGATGGCGTCACTTCCGGGAGGCGGACGCCACGCCCCTTTCCCCAGGGCCTGCGGGCGTCGGCTGCTCGGCGCGTGACGTTGCGCGCGGCCCGGACCGCTATTGGCCGGGAGCGGCTCCTCCGCGGGTCGTGGGCCCCTGCCCTCGACCCCTGCTTTTCACTTCCCGGGCGCGCAGACCCAGGCCGCCCCTCCCGGTAAAGGGCAGCGGCCCTGCGACGCCTGGGCGGCTCCTGGCCCAGAGCCGCGGGAGTTCCGCTGGCTGTCTTCCCTTCCGTGCCGCTTTTGGTGTGTCGCCTTGGCCCAGTCATTTCTTCATCGACATCGCTGCTTCCCTGGCGTCCAGTGAATGTTTATGGAGTGAATGACACATGAATAAAGTGGTTTTGACCCAGTGGGTGCTGATAAATGTTGACTCGGCTCTGGGACCGCGAGGGGACAGGGGACAGGCTGTGGGGACAAGGAGGAAATGTATGCACCTATATATAGTTACACAGTTCCTTGTAAATTTTACTGAGGATGCATAGCACGCAATTTACAAATAGCAATATACAATAGCAAATTCCCACAAAGCTAATTGATGCTCACAGAATGCTTTAATTGATGTTTGCGAAACCTTTTTAAAAGATTGATTTATTTATGCATACAAGAACTGGGGTACAGGCCAGAGGTGGGGGGGGTTTGAGAGGATTCCCCAGAGACAGAGTGGGGAGCAGAACGGGCAGACTGACTAAAATACACTGCTGAGGGGAGCAGCGGGCGAGTCAGGAGAGGTCTGCCTCGCCATGTGGGTAGCTCCCTGGCCAGCTGCAGAGGCTGCAGATTGCTTCATAGTGCGGTGTTTAACCCCTTGCGCCACCAGGGAGGGCCCTCTGTCAAACTCTTGTATGTATAGCCAAACCATGACCGTGACATGAGCATTTGTTGAAACTTTCCTGTATGTGAATGCAAGGGGAAACTGAAAAAACAAAGACAGTCTTAACTATCAATGATGAGAGAGACGTTGCTGAATTGGAAAACAATTTTCAAAAACTAAACAGATATTTCCTCCATTTTGTGCTGATATTCATGGTATAACAGCTGCTGACATAACTTTGAATGATTTACATATTTTCTATCACTTTTTATAAATCTAGATAATAAATCGGCCCGTATTTGCAGCATTTGCCCATTTCCCTGCGGCAAATACTCCCCCTGTGGTTGATTTAGATCCACCAGCAGAATTAGGAAGAGATGAGCTGTAGTGTTCCACAATGTAGTGGTTTCATAATGCACATACAGTAACAACCCCAAGAGCGTAAATAATAGAAAAATTATTTTAAAATGATGATTTATCATGTTTTAATACTTAATTATAATTTTGAATAATTTAATTTTTAATAGTGGCTGTGTGTTACAACTGATTTGCAAAAATCACTGAAAATGTTAACAATTGGCATTCACAAGCCCGTTTGAGCCAGCTCCACAGCACCACAAGAACTGTTTCCTCATCTGTAAAATATGAATAAGAATTGCCGCTTTGCTTACTTGCTGTCACTTGCAAAGATCAAATAAGATCAAGCTTGTTGTTTTGAGGGGGTGGGGCAGGAACAGGGAGACCAGTTAGGAAGTCATTGTAGTCATCCATGAGAGATGCCCAGGGATGCAAGGGAGAAGGAGGAAGCACCTGCCAGCAGAACTAAACAACTTTATTACCTGAGAGTGCATTGGGAGGAAGAGGATCTGAGAACCAGCACTGTAGTCAGAGAACTTTTTTAAAATGAAAATTTGTACATGGCCTATGATTAGAATCACTCATGATTTCCCATTATTCTTATGTTAAAGACAAAACTTATTTTTTTAAAGATTTATTTATTTATGCATACAAGAGCTAGTGCACAGGCCAGAGATGCGGGGGGTGAGAGGATCCACCAGAGACAGAGTGGGGAACAGAACAGGCAGACTGACTGAAATACACTGCTGAGGGGAGCAGCGGGCGAGACAGGAGAGATCTACCTCTCCATGTGAGTTTCCCCCTTGCCCGGCCAGAGTTCGAACTCGTGCTGTAACCCCTTGCACCACCAGGGAGGCCCGAGACAAAACTTCTTAAAGAGGTTTAACCTTCTTCAGGAGGTTATAGGGCTCTGTGTGATCTGACCCCTGCCTCTCTCAGACCACATCTCCTACCATGCTCCCCTTTGTTTTGTTCCCCTGCAGTTCTGCTACCCTTGCATCAGGCTCCTACACATATGGCCGTTGCATAAGCTTTCACTCTCTCTTTTTGCTTAGTAAGCTCCTACTCATCCTTCAGATTGAACCCAATCCTCACTACCTCAGGGAAATCTTCCTACCTGGGTAATTCCTCATCACCAAGCTCCAAGACCACTCCTCTGTTGAACTTTATTGCATAGGTGTAATTTGTCATCTATCTGTTGGATTATTTAATCAAAGTCAATTTAGTAAGCTATAATATTTGATTTTTATCTCTCATGGGTTCTCCAGTGCCTGCCATCGAGTAGGCTCATGGTATAGAAGTATTGCATGGTTGTTCAACCTCAGGTCTTGTAAGAGCCTCCCAATACAAATTCATCTGTAATTATGCACAACAGAATTCATGTCCTGTGAAAATAGTGAAGCCCAGAGTTACTTGCTAAGGTCACACAGATTCAAAAAGGTCCACTGAAATTCTCCAAAGACTACCCTCTCTTCCTCAGCTACCTCTCAGGTGTCACTCTGGTTACTGGAGAAAAAAAAGAGAGATTGCTATAAGGTCATATCTCACCACCACCACCCCACTCCCACCCCCATTCCCATCCCCATTCCCATCCCCACCCACCTGCAAAGGCCTAAGAAGACCACACATGATCCCTGGCTATTTCTGAGAACTCTGACCTCAGGACACATTACTCCAAGAATGCAAGTTCTGCAGCTCTGCAGCGCCCTCTGCTGTTCAGTTATTTTCTTTGCTCTGGAGGGAGGCTGACTATGTCTGCCACCTGGGGTTATCCCATCTGCCCAGAACACAGAGGCACAGGGGAACCCAGTCATGCAATTTCTAAGGCAGGGCAAGAAATGCTGCTTTTCCCATTTCCTTAAATGTCCAGGCCTGTATCCCTGGTTTTAGGGTAAAAAAAAAACATTGAAAATTAAGCTCCACCCAAAGGAAGCATTCCTTTGTATGATGCATTTGTGTTTGTTGAGTGGATTTTATGTCTACACATCCCTCTTTCACTGAGGGCTGTAGAAGTGGTCCCTGCAGAGATAGGGCCCTATTTTAAAAGGTTTTTGAAGAACAATTCAGTGTAAACCAGTCCCTAGGTCACTTAGTCATTCGGCAATGGGCTCGTCATAGGCTCTGGGGCACAGTGAGGCGTGAGACTGGTGTAGCCCCTGCCCCCTGGAGCTTGCCTTCTAGTTTGAGTTCAAGTCATGCCATTTCCTGGATGTATGACCAAGAGCAGATAGCTAAATATCTTTGAACCTGCGTTTCATTTGTAAAAATGGGTCATGAATAATCCCCTTGACGAGACTGTTGTGGGGATTAAATGAAAACTGACGTGTCAAAGTGCTTTATACGTAAGTAAATGCTAAAACACTATGTGGATGTCAGCTGCTAGTATTATAAGAACTTTGGTGGCGGGGTGGGGAGCAACTTACTATTATGTCTTCGCCAGGTGTGCTTAATCTTCATTAACCAGTAAAACCAAGAATGCGGGATGGGTCTCTTGCTCCCCCTCGTCCCCTACACAGCCTCATCAAACTCCCTCCATCCTTGCTCTGTTAGCACACGGAATCAGAGATGCCTCAGAGAGAGCCATGATAAGCCGTACGGGTCTGACCCCAGTGACCATTTGCTGGCTTTGTGGCCTTGAAAAAGTCACTTTGCTGACATTTGAATGGTTTAGTTTTAGTTTCCTTCTCTGTTGGAGAAGAACTGGACTGCAGGCTGTTCAGGTTCTGACAGCACAGGGATTGTGCTGGAGAGATTTCCCCCCCCACACACCCCCTTATAGTCCCGCTTAGGGTTCCAAAGCAGAGTTGTTTGCAGAGGCCACCTGTAAAGCAAGGGAAGTTTTTAGCAGAACCACACGCCCCTTTCTACACACTCATGATCTGGGACATGGAAGGTTTCTAAGATGTGGGTGGTGCAGAGTGAGAGGGGAGAAACCAAGGACCACGCTCATGTGGGACCAGATAACCGGGCGGGTGGGGATAGCATGTCAGCGATGAAAAAGTGATGGGAGAGGGCAGGAGGGCATGGAGAGGCTCTGTTTTATGTCTACATGTGAGAATTCACACCCACAGGTCCCAGGAGGCTGCCCCTGACTCTGAAAATTCTGTGTCTTTCCCCTTTATTGTGCCCAGTTGAGAGAAGGATGTAAAGGGTAAGAAAACTTGAGCAAGGGCACCATTTTCAGAAGAAAGGAAGAAGACAGGGCTTAGGATGACCAAATGAAGGTGGAAGATGGAGGGGAAGCTTTATTTCCTCTCTCCTCCACCTCTCTACCTCCCCTTCACGGTCCCTTCATTCCCCCCTGCCCAACCCCTACCCTGTTGCTGCTTGGTCGTTAACTCTGTGAAGCAGCAGAAGGCTCTCCTGGATGGGAGAGTTGGAGACCAGGCTGCAGCTCTCCTCTGTGGTGAGGCTTCATCGAGGCCATTGAGATTGATAATAGGGTGATGGTGGTGACATTTCGGGCCTGTGCAGGGGTGTTAGATCTCTGGGGTGTGAGTTTCCCTTCAAAGCGAGCAGTGATGTGACCTTGGGTGAGTCTCTGAGCCTCAGTGTCTGCATCTGGGAAATGGAGATGAGAATATTCACCATACACAATTGTGGGGAAGAGTCATTAAGACGAGGCACACGAAAAACACTTTATAGACTCTCAGTCTGGACAAAGATCGGTTGTGTTTATATCAGGCTCCCTTTCCCACCTCCCATCCCCAATTTCAAATTCCAGTTTCACTGAACAGAGTCAAAGGGTACAGGCAGCCAGAGCACATTGCCAGAAGAGGCAGCTTGGCCCTTTATCACGCCTGTTGCAATTGCTGCCAGGAGGCTGAGTGAAGCAAAGGGGTGGAGAGAGGGGCAGCAGCTCATCTGTGGTTGCTATGGCGCCCCATCCTGGATTTGCCCAGTTCTCCTAATGGAGCAAAGGGCAGAGGGAGGGGGGAAAGAGGGATCGAGAATGACAGGTCCTTCATCCCCCCTCCCATCTAGCTCTCTCTGGAGCAGATGTAGGGTAGGGAATGGGGGGCGGAGGTCTAAGAGGGGGAGGGAAGAGTGTGTGCTAAGAGTGTTTGGGATGGGGGGCACACAGAGAGAGGAGGAGGCAGAGCCCTCATGCCTACATCCAGAAGCCAGCTGATGACGTTACAGAGAAGAAAAAAACAGGCAAGGGAGCATGTGTGCGAGAGAGGGAGGGAGAGAGAAGAGGTCTGGAGGCAGCCCCAGACTGCAACCAACCTCTGCCTGGCCTCCCCTGAGCCACCTAGCCTGAGCACCTAGCCACCGGGTGGCCTGGACGCAGGTCCCTGACCACTGTCCTGAGCATGGGCACCAGGTCAGTGGCTATGCCCCCTTCCATCTGGGGGCTGCTGGGCTGCTGTTTCCTTTGTGACTGGGCTCTGGGGGGTCCACGGCCCCTCCACTCTCTGCCCCCACTGTCCTCCCAAGTCAAGCCAGGATCTGAGCCCAGGTGGTTGCCCCAAGAAGGGGCTGAGGCAGCCCTGGCTTTTCTTTACTCTGGAGATGCCCAGCAGCTGTCAGGGGCTAACTGCAGTGAGCACTACAAAGCCCAGGGTGCAGGAGCCAGGTTAGGGCTCCCCCCAATCCTATGGAAGGCAGCGGTCACCCTTGCCCAGGCTGCCAATTTCCTCAACATGCTGCTCCAAGCCAACGACATCCGAGAGTCCAGCGTGGAGGAAGACATGGAGTGGTACCAGGCGCTCGTCCGCAGCGTGGCCGAGGGGGACCTGAGGGCATATCGGGCTTTGCTGACCTTTAACCCTCCGCCTGGGGCCAGCCACCTGCAGCTGGCCCTACAAGCCACCCGAGTGGGAGAGGAGACCATCCTTCAGGACTTGTCCAAGAACAGACGACGGGAGAGTCCAACCGGAGGCTCAGACACCCCTGCTCTGCAGAAGCGGGTATTGACCAACGATCTAGGGAGCCTTGGAAGTCCCAAGTGGCCACGGGGGGATGGATATGTGGGGGACATGCAGCATGTGAGGCTGTCTCCCCCCTTCCTGGAATGCCAGGAGGGCCGGCTCCGTCCAGGCTGGCTTATTACGCTGTCCACCACCTTCTATGGACTCGCGCCAGACCTCAGCCCAGAGGTCAGGTAAGTGGGTTGGTCAGGATTGGATGCATTCATGCGGGTGGGTTGTAGGTGCAAAACTTAGCCAGATGTGCATGTACCATTTGGCAAACACATGTGTGTCAAGGGGCACAGATGTATGTATTTTCATTCAGCTGTGTATATTTGCAGCGAACTCTGGGAAACTGTAACTGTGTTAACACATACAGGTGTGGGTGTACATACTGTGTATGAGTCAATCCATTTACATGGAGGCAAGCACATATGGATGTGTGCAGATGTTTAGGGACAGCTGGGCATAAATCTCACCCCCAGACCTGAGTAGTGGGTGTAAGGCAGGAGAGGGTATGGTTGGATGGCTGTGACAGCCATGCACCAGCTGTCTGGGAGGAGAAAGGTGGGCACTCCCTGAGTTAAACCCACTGCTCTCTAGCAATCAAGAGATGTAAAAGGAGGCTCCTCCAAGGGAAGGACATTCTTGGGGAGAGGCGTGGAACTGCCCTTACTGTCCAGGAGTTGAGTGGGTTCCCCAGGGTCATGCCCAGGCCTATATACTTATATCAAGTAGGTCCCTCAGTCCTGCATGTCCTGCCCCAGGGGCCGGTGATAGTCCCTAAATAACTGACCTCCTGCCTCCACCAGCGTAAACAGTGATTGTGAGTCCCAACGGAAAGGAGGCAACAAACGGGCACAACACTACCAGGCTTTCAACAATCAGCATTGTTTTTCCAGCTATGTGTCCCCATTCATTGTCCCCAGAAAGGTTCCCCGACAGACCGACAGGCTCCTTGCCAGCTCTCTCTCCACTCAGCCCAAAGCAGGGTTGGGAGCCCTTAGGTCAGGCTGCTAAGAGCTCCAGTCCATATCTTCTTTGCTGTGATCAACTCAGGTCTGATTTGGGCAGAATGAGGGGGTGTTTAATAGCTGAGCTCTGTGTGTGTGTGTATGTGTGTGTGTATGTACAAGCAGTGGGGAAGTGTGAAAATTCAGAGAGCTCATCAGAGTTCCAGTTCCCATATGTCTTGACATGTTCCCTATGATAAGACCCAGGAAATGATAGGATGTTGAAAGTTGAGGGAAGTAGGATGCGATCTAGAAGGAAGGAATTTGTTGCAGAGACAGCGAGGGTTAATAGCACTAGAGAAATGAAATACGTGTGTGTGCTCTCTATCAGCACACTGCAGTCACTGTGCTAAGGTGTGCAAAGCTTGCATTGTCCCATAGCATAGGAGCCAGGGGCACTTGTCCACCTTGGCATCCTTCACTGTACCACTAACTGCTAATTCACTGCCCTAGGGGGCAGGTGCAGATGGACGTAGACCTTCAGAGCGTGAACGTCAACCAGTGTGCCAGTGGCCCGGGCTGGTACGCTAACACACACATGTGTGAACTCAACAGCACCCAGGTAAGGATAAGGGTCCTGCTGACCTCCCCATTTCCCATCACTGCCACCATCCACCTCCCAGGAGCAGCTGACAGAGGCACACCAGCCTCTCAGGATTTCAGGGATGAAAACAAGATGAGATACCAGGCTTTTTAAAAGTCACTTACAGCCTATCTCCATCCCCCACCTAAGAGAGCCACCTTCATTCCTTTGACATCTCAATGTGCCCCCCTGTTTCCTCTCCCTTCTAGGGCCTTCCCCAGGTACTCCAGGATCCCTCCCCGGGACCACCTTCTGAGCCCCTATTAATTATCTGCTTTCCTTCCCCTGGATCATATTCTCCATGTCAACAGAGTGTTGGGCTCCCTCTGGCCTGTGAAAGATATTCTGTTGGTGATTGTTAAAATACGGGAACTTGCTGGTAGGGGTGTAGGAGGAATCTGATCGAAGAAGGAACTCAAAGAGCACTGGAACTTGTGAAGGTGATGGAACCCAGGCCAGATGCGGGCAGAATCAAAGCCATAGATGTGAGAAAATGTGGATAATGGAAAGCACTGACTGATAATCCTAAAAGCCCAGTTCTGGGGCACTGGGCAGCCAGAGAACTAATTCAGGCCATGCTTACACTAATTGCATGCTTGTTCCTGAGCTGAAGCGAAGCCCAGGCGAGCCTGCAGGTTGCTGGGAGGTGGAGGGTGGGGGAGTGGTTTGGGCATCTGCTGTTCTTCAGGGCACACATGTTTGGAGCTGTAAGCCCAGAGATGGAGAAGGCCCCCATTGTCCACTTTTTTTTTTTTTAATAGAGGCATGTTTTATTTATTTATTTATTTGTTTGTTTGTTTATACATGCACTGGGTACAGTCAGAAGCGCGGGAGGGTGAGAGAATTCACCAGAGCCAGAGCGGGGAGCAGAGCAGGCAGAAGGACCGAAATACACTGCTGAGGGGAGCAGCGGGCGGCAGGAGAGGTCTGCGTGCCATGTGGGACCCTCCTCCGGTGGCCGGGGAGCAGCCGGGGATCGAACCTGCGCCGCAGAGGCTGCGGGCAGCTTCGCAACCCAGCGCTCAACCGCTGCGCCACCGGGGAGGCCCACCATTGTCCACTTTTAAATCCAGCCACCCTCATTTCTCCCAGCACACACCACCTGAGTGTGCAGATTGGCAGGAACAGTGCCCTTTCCAGTGAACCAGGCAAGAGAGGAAGCTGGACCAAGAGAGGAAGCTAGACCACCCTCTAGCCTTCCTTAGCCTTCTAGGTGAAGTCAGGGGCTGGGTAGGGATTGCCCAGGGTTAACCCCTTCCTTTGCCCCATAGAAGGCAGTTCTTAGTCTAGTCTCTCTCTACAGCAGATATGGCCTCATCCACGCACTCAAGTCCCCAGCTCTGAGGTCTGCTTTGTCCCCTGCTGCACAAATATCAATGAGTGGAGATAGAATAAAAAGCTGGCCTTGGCGTCCCACCAGCCTGGCATTATCCTGGCATTAAGGCTAGGGAAAGCAGTCCTGTGCTGAAGCCAGATGGTCCCTAATGGAGGAAGCTGCTCCCCCATGGAGAACTTTTCAACCCACCTGTGCGCCAAAGAGGGAGGCTGATGGGAACCCTTTGAAGCAGGATGTGGGCACACAAGGTGTGACCGGGCTTGGAGTTCTCCCCACTTCCACCTCCCTCCAGCACCTTGCTCTAGCAACAGCTGGGCACTGGGCAATGAGACCTATGAGGTTCCTGTCACTGTTGGTCTGAACAAAAGGGCAGTTTGTCCTGGTACTCTACTTGGGGGTCTCTTTGAGAAGAGAGGAAGCAGTGGGGGCTAAGAGTGGGGTTTCTGGGATAGGGAGGGTTCCCAAGGTCTAGGGAGTACCACTGGTGGGGTTCCCTGGTGTGGACCCAAGTGCCATGGCAGGAAGGTAGAAGGGCCCTCCATCTCTTCCCAGGGGGAAAGTCCCATATAGATGCCTATCATGTGTGTCCTGCCCACAGTGTGTCCCCCTGGAGGGCCAGGGCTTTGTCCTTGGCCGCTACCTCTGCCGCTGCCGACCTGGCTTCTACGGGGCAAGTCATTCCGGGGGTATGTGACTGTGATGGCCGGGCAGGGCTTCTCCAGGCTGGGCTGGTTGGAGAGGGCATCTGGGGAAGAAAAGCTGATTGGGGTGAGAGAGTGGGAGGAAAACTTGTGGGGCAAGGGCAGAAAGTGAGAGAGAATCAGGAAAAGGTAGGCAGAGTCCAATTTGGGGGTGTCTGTGCCTTCTGAGAAAGAGCCTGCACCATGCTGATGTGCTGCAAGTTGACCTCGAAATGAGCCCTGGCCTTGCATCACCTCTTCCTGCCTCCCCTGGGGGTACCCACTATCTTATTCCTGCCCCTACAGACTATATCCCAAGGGCCACAGACCACAGGAAGGCAGGAAGGGGGGCAAGGGGACCACTGGGAGAGAAGGCTGGGATCTTGGTATATAACCACACCCCTCTTCCTGCCCCATCTTGTTCTTTATAGGGTTAGAAGAAAGCGCCACCCAGCCTACCGGGCAATTTGGGTCCCTGCAAAGCAGCACGGAGAGGTTGCTGCGGTGCCAGCCATGTCCCAAGGACTGCACCAGCTGCACGAATGCTACCCCCTGCCTGGTGGAGGAGGCCCTGGTGCTGCGGGCACTGGTGCTGGCCTGCCAGGCCTGCTGCATGCTCGCCGTCCTCCTGAGCATGCTGCTCTTCTACCGCTGCCGCCGGAGCAAGGCAAGGAAGGCCCACACCTCTCTCCTGCTCACGAGTCCCGCCCACCAGGGGTCTCTGGCATCAATTGGACATCAGGGACTACCTAACACTAGAACTCAGGAGAAATGGCATCTGATCTTTGTTCTTAATCTAACTCAGTGTGTGACATTAGACACGTGACTTCCCCACCTTAGACCTGTTTCCTCTTCTGTAAAGTGAAGACACTGGACTTAAAATGCACTGTGTAGGCACCAAGGGAAATGATCTAGATGCTCATGCAGCTTCCAGTGGAGGGAGGAAGCAGACACGTAAATAAAGTAACACACAGGGCTGAGGAGGGAGGCGTGCTGTGATTGCTGCAGCAGCTCAGAGAAGGGATCCAGTTGTCCTCCCTGAGATGGAATGGGAAAGACTTTCCCATGCAGCCATTTCAGCCAGGTTTGAAGGTTAATGGGATATTTATGGGGTAAAGAAGGAGTTGTTTTTTTTTTTAAGAAGGCGTTATTGATGCGGGTTAGAGTAGTCTGACCCAAAGCAAAGCTTGATGCAATGCATGAGAGCCCTTCTCGCTCCTGCAGCCTCTGGCTTGAGCCCAGGCCTGCAGCTAGGCCCAGCTGGGACTGGGAGGGGCATGGGGCTGGTGTGGCAGCCAGTCACGTGCAATTTTGGTCTTAGCCAGGCTTAGTGCTGATGGCATTAAGAGCCTGTGCTGGGTATAAGGGGGGATGGATGGTGGTGGGCAGAATGGGGGAGGTGAAGCTTTAGCCCAGAGCCACTGAGTGACCCTTAAACAGGCCTGAGACCCTCCTACACCACTGTCTGGGCTCTATCTTCCTTACATGCCTCTCTTTCCTGGGTTCACAGAGGATCCGGGCATCTGGAGTTGTTCTGCTGGAAACCATCCTTTTGGGATCCCTGCTGCTCTACTTCCCTGTGAGTTTATGGCTACAGGCTGACTCTACCTCCCAGGATCCCCCACCATCCCAATCTGGCACCCTCCAAATCCCGGAGTCCTTTTTTCTTTCTGCCCCTCTTGGGGGGTTTCAGAGACCTCAAATTCCCCCTATTCATAGCCACCAATGGGAGACTAGTCTAGTGAGCTTTGCAGCCAAACAGTCCTGAGTTAAAAGAGATCTATCACTTTACTGTGTGACTTAGAACAAGTTACCTAACCTCTCTGATACTTTAGTTGCTCTATTGCAGAATGGAGGTGATGATGCCTCCATTGCAAGGTTGTTAGGGTTAGCAAGGTGCATAGCACCAGCCTCACACATAGTGGAAATGCAGTGCAAAGCAGCTGTGTTGGTCTCGCCCCACCAGGTCTTCATCCTGTACTTCAAACCCAGCGTATTCTGCTGCATCGCTCTCCGCTGGGTCCGCCTGCTGGGTTTCGCCATCGTCTACGGCACCATTGTCCTCAAGCTTTATAGGTAGGTGCTATGGCAGACCTTGCTCTTGCACTGCTCATCCCAGGCCACCCCTGATCAGTTATGGAGTGGAGTTAGTTCTTCAGCATCAGACCCTCATTAGCTCCCCTGTGCCCCCAGGACCTGGCCCCATCACTGTAACCATTCCCTGCATTAGGCCATAAGAGGAGGTTGCCAGCCATGGAAGGGACAGGCCAGGGGTGTGTGGAGGACAGGGAAGAAACGGCGAAGCCAAGGCCCTGGCCTGCTCTTCCTGCTCCTCCCCCCCTCACCATGCACGCTCTTGCAGGGTGCTCCAGCTGTTTCTATCTCAAATGGCACAGCGATTCTCCCACCTGAGCAGCAGGCAGCTGCTTCAGCGCCTGGGGCTGCTCCTGCTGCTAGTGCTGGGTTTCCTGCTGGTGTGGACAGCAGGGGTCCTGGAACCAGGCCAGCACACGCCTCTGGTGACCCAAGGCCAGACTCCTGCAGGCCGCCGCTTCCACCTCTGTCACCACGGCCACTGGGACTATGTCATGGTTGTAGGTGAGTTGCTTCCACTGAGCACTGAGCACAGCCTCACTCTGACCCCCAGCCTGGCATCTCCGTGTGTCCTCTTGCCCTGGCCCCCCCAGCATGGTACCTGGGCCCCTGGTTCACGCTCCCCCCTACAAAGAAAGGGGCGCATGGCTGCTGAGGTGGTACCCAGCTGTCCCTCCCCACCACCTTACAGCCGAGATGCTGCTGCTGTGCTGGGGCAGCTTCCTCTGCTACGCTGGCCGGGCTGTCCCTGCGGCCCTCCATGAGCCCCGCCATCTTGGCATCGCCCTGCACAATGAGTTGCTGCTCTCCTCTGCTTTCCATGCAGCCAGGTAAGGACAGCCCACCTACCATGACTCCTCCCACCAGAGCCCTCCTCACCTCTCCCAGGTCTCCATCCCACAGCCAGCCCTGCAGCACTGCTGTGCCTCAGCAAGAAGAGGAAGTCACCCCCCTCGTTCTCTCCTACCACACGGATTCCCTTCTTGTACCCTATGTCTCACCCAACACCCAAGAAGGGGACGTAACCCCCACACTCCTAAGTCTTCCCTAAGCCACTATCCAGGACCCCACACCCTCCTCCTCACACAAGCTCAATTCTCCTCATCTTCTTTCCCCTGCGCCCCAGCCATCCCAGCAGCAGCTCAGCTGGGGATGGCAGAACCCTCCCAAGGGCAGTTCAGAACAGAGTTGTGAGCAGGTCTGTGCTACAGGCAGCCAGAGAAGGTGAGCTGGAGTAGTCTGGAGGGGGTGCAGGGACCTGGATCCTAGAGACAGCAGGGAGAAGGGTGCCTGCCCCACCCTCCACCCAGTACCTCTAGAGATCAGGACTGGAGAGCCAGTGTGACAGGAGAGGGGAAGCAGCTGCTGGCACCCACAGTTCACATTTCCTCTCCCACAGGTTTGTGCTGGTTCCCTCCCTACATCCGGACTGGACCCTCCTCCTCTTCTTCTTTCACACCCACATCACCGTCACTGTCACTCTGGCTCTGATCTTCATCCCCAAGGTGAGTCTCCCCCTTCTGGATGGAGGCTGATCCCAGCCCCTTCTTAAAGGGCACTGTGGCGCTATTGCTGCTGCAGCGCCCCCTCCAGGTCAGAGCAAGGATGACATCTGGGGAGAGCTTCCGGCCTCTAAGCAAGGAGTCCACAGAGGGGTGGGGGACTGGGAGAAAGCTATTATCTGCCTCCAATGCCTGAGCAAATGTAATAAGAGGTAGTGCTGGCGGGATCCTTGTAACACTGTTGGAAGGTCAGTGGACTCCAAAAATCCACTTAAATGTAGCTACAGAGATAGAAGGGGACACTGTAGGACACGGCTGGGAATTATGGGGTACCCCACACCTTCTCCCCAATGCCTGATCTACAGAAAATTAGGAGGTCGAGGGGGAGCAACACTCGTTCAACCCCCCAGAACTCCAAATCAGAGAGGCAGGTGAAGATTCCCCAAGGAAAGACATACCTCCTTGGGCGGGTGGGAGGAGTGCGGGGGAGGAGGGTGGCCAAGGTGAGTCTTTTCCCCATCATGCCCACCCTGGCCAGTTCCGGAAGCTTGGGGCGCCTTCCCGGGAGGAGATGGTGGACGAGGCCGGTGAGGATGAGCTGGACCTGCAGCTCTCAGGCTCCTATCTCAACAGCAGCATCGCCTCAGCCTGGAGCGAGCACAGCCTGGACCCTGGAGACATTCGGGTGTGTGTTGCCCTCCCTGCTCCTTTGGATACTTTTATGGACTGGGCAAGAGCACTGCCCCTCCACCTCCCTGCTCCGAGCCTTCCCTCTAAGATCGGCCTCCCCCACTTCTCTGCCATTACCTTAAGCCCTACCCTTGACTCTTCAACAGAGGCCACACACCACCCAAGGGGAAAGACCCCAAAAGCCCCAGAGCTCAGATTCCTGTGCTGCACATGGCAGGCAAGTTGGAGGCAAAGCAGCTAATGGAATTCCAACACCTGGCGTCCTCCAGTCCCACACAGCAGGGGTGTCATGAGGGCCAGACTAAGAACCCTCATCCCCTTGCACACTGGGGAGCTGGTGACCCTAGCGCCCTGTTGGGGTTGATGGATCTGGCAGTCGTGGTGACCAGGGATTTCCACGCATGGATCCTCTTTCCCTGGACCTGGCAGATCATAGAAAAAGGGGAGCTCCTCCTGAGTCTTACATCGGGAGAGCATCCTCTCTGATTTTGCTGCTTAAGTGGATGATTGTACTCAGGGAAGCCAAGGAAAGGCCCAGTGGTAAGAAACAAGAAGATCTGGCGGCCTAAGCCCATGTGTCATGAAACCTGAGATGAAGGAACAACCTCAGGAAGCCATCTGCCTCCCCTGGGCCTCTCCCCCTGACTCATCCACATATCCCAACTCCCTCCTTGCCCCAACTGCTTCTTCTTCTCATCCCCCTTCTGTCCCCCTCACCCTCTCAGCCCTGCCTTCCCCGCCTCCCCCACCTCTGCCCTCTGCGTATGGACTGAACTGAGACCTTTGATCCAGCAGGGAGGCCTGAGTGGCTCAGTGCCACAGCAAAGGCCCCTCCCTCCTCCAAGTTTCCAAGCAAAGTCAACCCACTCTCCCTATGCTAGCTCTGGAATCCAAAGGATCAAACACTTTCAAAGCCCGTTTCATCATTTATACCCAAATATGGCCCTTCCCTGCCCCCTTGTCCCATCAGTCTCATCCCCCTCTCAAGGAGGCTGAGTGGGCAGCCAGTTATGGTAACTTTAGAGAAGAGGCAGAGGCTCAGAGAGGTCAAGAAAATAACCCTAAGGCGCATGATGGCAGCAGCCTCAAACCCAGATTTCTATCCCCTCCGCTGGCCATTTCCCACCCACTCTAGCGATGAGGGTGCACCCTGCATCCTTGGGGCCAAGCGGTTAGGCAGGAACTAGACTGGCACTGGTCTTGCAGCAATGGAAAGGTGAATCCTGAGCTACAAACACAGGGAGGGGACCTAACTTGATGGGAAAGAGATCCCCCTGGGGCAAATGATCTAAATGAAGACTGAGGGGAAGAACAGTTCTGCCAGGGATGGAAAGAGCTGACTGTCCACCTCACAGTCAACTCTGATTTCCTCTCTCCTCCCTCCCTCCCCTCAGGATGAGCTGAAGAAGCTTTATGCCCAGCTAGAGGCCTATAAGACCAAGGAAATGGCTGCCAACAACCCCCACCTGCCCAAGAAGCGGGGCGGCTCTCGACAGGGCCTGGGCCGCTCCTTCATGAGGTACCTGGCTGAGTTCCCCGAGGCCCTGGCCTGGCAGCACTCCCAGGACTCCCCAGGGTGCAGCAGCATGCCTGGCTCCTCCCGCCACAGGCTCCTCAGCTCCAGCCTCCAGGAGCCCCAGTGGAAACCAGCCCTCCGCAAGTCCCGCAGCACCTATGAGCATGACCAGGGCAGGGAGCAGGACCTGCCTCTCCTCAACTCGCTGCTGAGGAGCAAGCTGGCCAAGAAAGCCTCGAGAGAGAGCAGGGAGTCGGTGGAGGAGCCCCCTGTCCTGGGCTTCAGGTCCATCAGCGCCCACAATCTGACAGTTGGAGAGAAGCTCCTCAGGGCCCCGCCCACCTCGCTGCAGAAGTCGCTCAGCGTGGTGGCTGGCTCCAGGGAAAAGGCCTTACTGGTGGCTAGCCAGGCCTTCCTAGAGGAGACCTATAGGCAGGCAAAGGAGCAAGAAGAGAGAAAGATGGCAGAGGCGGCCATGGCCAGCCCAGTGTGGAGGCCATCAGCCAGGAGGCTCGAGCAAGCTCAAGGGGCTCCCCTGTCAGCCCCACTTTCCCCTGCCAAGAGCAGCAGTGTGGACAGCCCCCCTCCCTCTGGGAAGCTTCAAGAGGATACTGTGAAAAGATTACCCCACCCACCCATCATGCACCAGGTCCCCACTCCCATCTTGGCCCTGTCTGGGCCCTGCCTAGGAGAACCACATATGCTGTCTCCCACCTCCACCTTGGCCCCAGCTCTGATGGCAGCCCCAGGCCCTAGCCTGGCACCAATTCCAGTATCCCCTCAAGGCCCCAGTGTACTCACCTACATCTGCCCCTGGGAGGATACAGAACTGCCAGTCAAGAAAGAAAATGTGGCTCGAAAAGACCCCTCAGGGCCAGAGCAAGGCAACCACCCCTTGGCTCCTGCTCGGGCCAAGCTCTGGAGGGCCCTCTCCATTGCTGCAGAGAAAAGAGGGGGTGAGGAGAATGGGATGGATGTAGGGGATGGGCACCTCCAGACAGATGAGGACAGGCCCAAAATCATCTCTAAATCCCACAGCCTCAAGACCCAGCAGGGATCCATGCGCAGTCTGGGACTGGCCATCAAGGCTCTGACCCGTTCTAGAAGCACATACAGAGAGAAGGAGAGTGGGAAGGTGGTCCCTGGCGGGGAGAAGGGCAGAGCATCAGGAGAGGGTGCGGGGGCGTGCCCCCAGTCTCCCAGGCCAGGCCGGCCCAGGGCAGTGAGTAAGCAGACTGCCCTTGCCCCCAGTGATGATGAAGAGTCCCTCCAGAACCAACAGAACGCTCACACCAGCAGGATGCTCCAGGTCTGCCACCAGGAGGGCACCAGGGAACAAGACGACAGAGGCAGGAGGACACCCCAGAGCCTAGGGGAGGAGAGAGCTGAGAGAGCAGTTAGAGCAGGGCCTGCCCCACTGAGGCAAGTCAGGCAGAACACAGTAGGTGACAGAACGACTGAGCGAGCAAAAGCAGCCCCCATAGGTGGGCAGGAACTGCCCAAATCTGGCCGGCAGTCTCTGGGCAGTGCTGACAGCTGTGTGGCAGAGGTGTGCCCCTGGGAAGCCACCGAGTTAGAAACCTGTCTGCCAGACAGTAGCAACAAGGCCGAAATCTGCCCCTGGGAGGTGAGTGAAGGAACCCCTGAGAGCAGGGCATTAAGAAGAGATCTACAGGACTCTCAGGAGGAAAGGGGGAAAGCCCCAGAAAAATCAGAACCCAAAGATGTGGCTGCTATTGCTCGGAAGAAGCCAGAAAGGCTGGTCAAGAGGCAGGAGGCAGTATGTCCCCGGGAGAATGCTGGTCCTGGGGGTCTGTCCCCTCCGGACTGTGACAAAACCAAGGGCAGGTCTGAGGCAGGGAGAAGCGTGGAGGCTAGAGAGATAGAGAATGCAGGACTATCCCAGCAAAAGCTGAAAACATTCTTCTGCAAAGAACAGAAATCAGATGGAGACTTGGAGTTTCATTGTCCATGGGAGAGGACAGATTTCCGGGGCCCCTCAGCAATCTCCACTCAGGTCCCAAGAACCGCTGGGGACCCAGGGTGTCTGAGCACTAGTGTTGTGGAGGTGTGTCCGTGGAAGGCGGGGGACACTCGTGCTGTCAGGAAAACAGAGATCTGTCCCTGGGAGCTGGGTGACGAGGTAGCCGGGAAGGAAGTGTTGGGTGACGGGACGGGTGGAGAATCTCTCCAGGGAATGGGAAGTTCTGAAGAGAAGGTGGGACAAACTGGGAAAGCAGCGCAAGAGTTAAGTCACTGGCAGGAGTCAGCGTGTCCCTGGGAGGACACAGCCCCTGGGCACTCCAGCCCATGTCTAGACAGTGCTTCATCCAGAGCTGGTGGCCTCAGCCAGGGAGGAAGTAGAGCCACTCAGGGATGTCCACAGGAAAATCTCAGGCCAGGGGTCACACCTGCCAGGGCAGAGACCTGTCCCTGGAAGGTAGGTGAAAGAATAAGAGAAGACTGGACAGCGGGTTGGGCATCAGGAGAAGACTCTCAAGAGGGTCAGGAGAAAATGCCTGGAACATTAGGAATCAAAGATGCCACTACTTGGGAAAAGCAGGAAGCAGTCTGTCCTTGGGAAAGTGTGGACCCTGACAGCTTCTCCCCACGACGAGCTCAAAACAGAGAAAGACCCAAAGCCAGTTTCCAGGCATCAGGCCTTGTGGGAAGCAAAATTGCAGAGATCTGTCCGTGGGATGTGGAGGGGATCCTGCCTGGTGAGAAGGCAGAGATCTGCCCTTGGGAGGCGGGCACTGGAGCAGGGGAGCAGAGAGCTTTGGGAGTTGAGGCCACTAGCAAGATGCCAGACCACGTAGGAAAGGCTCCTGCAGCTCCTGGACCCAGCGAGGTGGCTGTTCCTGCCCCAAAGGAGCCGGAGAGGCCAGCGCAGGAGCAGGAGGTGGGTTGTCCCTGGGAGAGCATGGGTCCAAGGGGCTCCTCTCAGCATTCAGACACTGGCAGACCAGAAGTTGGGTTTCAGGAACTGGACCATGTGGGGTACAGGCGGGCCGAGGTGTGTCCCTGGGAAGTGGAGGAAGCGCCTGCCAGTGAAAAAGCCCAGACCTGTCCCTGGGAATTGAGTGAAGTGGCTACTGGGAAGGGACTAGAAGAAGGTGTGGGGAGTGACTCAGCAGGGCAGAGGGAGAAGACTCTAGAAAAGGGGCGACTCACCTCCCTTGAAGACTTATCAAAGTGGGAGAAAAAACAGAGCCTGAACCAGGAGGCTATTGGTCCTTGGGGGAAGGAACCTCGAGCCCAGGTCCTCAAGGTTGCAGACTTGCCCAGCCCGAGTAACAGAGGGGCAGAAGGTTGTTGCCTGGAAGTGAGTGACGAGGCATCTGAGGGAGAAGACCTGAGACAGGACCCACAGATGAATGGAGGGATCCCAGAACATGTAACACAAGAAAAAGCTCCTTCAAAAGCCAGAGAATTCACTGCAGAAGACGAGAAAGATAAAAGTATCCAGTTCCAGGCGGAGAGCATGGCTCCCGCAGGCTCCCTCTCCAGCACTGAGCAAGGGGAAGCTGGCTCTCAGAGACTGGTCAGTGTGGAGGGCAGGATGGCCGAGGCATGCGCAGTGGAGGCTCCTGCCCTGGATGTGCCTGCACCCGACAGTGGTGCCAGAGCTGAGACCCTCTGCTTGGAGGACACTGAGAGACTCCCTGGGAGAGGGCTGTCAACACACCATGGGAAAGGGGACTCTCCAGAGAAGGGGAAAGCCCTAGAAAAACCAGAGCCCAAAGTTGTGGCAGTTCAGGAAATGCCAGAGAGGGCAGGTAGGAAGCAGGAGGCTGGGTGTCTCCAGGAGAGCCAGGACTGTGGGGGTCTGTCTCCACAAGCAGCTCCACAAGCTTGTGACAGAAGCAGAGGCAGTTCTGAGGCAGCAGACGGTATGAGGACCAGCGGAGCCCAGGTGTGTCCATGGGAAGCAGAAGAGGCTCCCTTTACCAAGAAAGCAGAAATCTGCCCTTGGGAAGTGAGAAAAGAAGCAGCAGACACAGGAGAACTGGAACAAGAGGTGGACAGAGATTCCCAAGAACAAGGAGGGAGGTTCCCTCAAAAGGCAGGATCTGGAGGGGCTGAAGGACACTTTTCAAAAGAAGTGGCTCAGGTCAGCAGAGAGCAGGAGACAGTCTGCCTCCGGGAAGGCACAGATTATGGGGAGGAAGACTCTCCAGACACCGACCAGCCCAAAGTCAGTCTCTGTGGAGCAAGAAGTATGGTGAGCAAGATGGCAGAGCTGTGTCAGTGGGAAATCACAAATCCAGAAGGAAATAAAATAAAGGGCACCATGGCAGACATCTGTCCTTGGGAGGGAACTGGAGGCTCCTCTGAGGAATCTGGCCTCCTGCTTTTAACAGGCACTCAGACAGAAATATTTTCTCCTACAGCCCCTGAGAAACCGCCTTGCCTTTTAGTCCACAGGCCTCCAGGGAACTTCCTTCTAGAAAGCAAAAGCCCCCACCCCAAGGTGAGCAAGTCAGCCAATACTTCTCTGGAAGGTGTCAAAGGACTCCAAGGGCCTTCAGCACTTGGAACAGGAACTAGCTTAGCCACAGATTCAAGTCTCCAAGAAGCTGAGGCTCAGAAGTCTTCCTCCTTGACTGAAGAACAAGAAGTGGTTTCTAAAGTTCCCTGTGAAGAGGTCCCCCACCAACAGTCTATCCTCAGCTCTGGGAGTGATAGCTCCATCAAGTGAAACATCAGGCGACTAGCTTTTAGGGGCCAAAGTCCTGTCCAAGTCCTAGGTGTTCCCAAAGAGCTGAATGAAAGATCCTTGGCTACTTCCCCTCCCCAAGGCCAGGAGTCAACTCATTCCAAAGACAACTTGTTCAAAAGGGTGCAGATTGGGCCCGACAGGAAGTCCTACCTGTCTTAACTTCTGACTCTTCTTCCTGCTCCAGGGAACAAAGGCTGGACCCTTGCTTCTAACAAATCCTCCCCCTGCAGCTAGAGCAGTCAACACAAACCATGTCTGTGTCTGGACACTTGCTTGTAAACATATGTCAGGGACGAATGGAAGTCAGCAGTGCCTGGTCCGTGCTTTCTCCTAGGGAGGCCACATGCTTAAGCCTACAGAGCACTATTTTTAAAAGAAACCAAACCACATAAGGCATTAGCTATACAGGTAACCATAGGGAGCTTAAGAAGTCACTTAACTCAAGCACAAATATAAATTGGGGAAAAAACTCAGGCTCAAAAGAGGTGCCTGAAATGCCAAAAAAAAACCTCATTTTGAATTTGGAACTGCAGTTTCTGCTTTATCAACCCTTGGACCTAGCCTGCTTGACTAAAGTAGACAGTCAATATTTACATCAACATCAACAGCTGGCATCCTTAGTGACAGAGAGCACAGGAGGAAAGGCAATCGCTCCAGGCTTTCTCCACGCTGGCTATGGTAGTGTTCTCCCTCCCAGACACCCCCTCCCAGTTTAAGGAGTTTGCCTCTTGGGTAACTTGATGCTCTCCCCTTCCTCCTGCACCATCTCTTACCAGTCTCCAGGGTTCATCTCACTGGCTCATTCTCTGCCTCCTAATCTTTTAGTGCTGCCATCAAAGGGACCCCTTTGTTGCCACTGCTGGTGGAACCAAGGGAAATCTGTAGTTCTGATGCAAGAACCACCCCAGCTCACTGGAGCAGTAACATTAGTTCCCTTCCTGAGAAGCACAGAAATACAGGAGGTGCTGTTTCAGCCAGGACCGTGATCATCCCCACAAACAGCACTGGGTCAGGTTAGAGGCCTGGTGTCAAGGGCAGTGTGTATCCATAAAGCATTCTTAGGGAGCTCTCTCTCCTTAGCTCGGCTGTTTTCTCGAGTCAGTTGAGGCAATCCTGCTTAAGCAGCCCTAGATAAGAGCACTGGAATTAGATGATACTACCAGAGGGAAACAGAGGAGAAAAACATTGGCCAAAAATGTTCCAGAACTGTTAGGGGTAAGGTGGAGGAAACAGGCAGGCTAACCATGGAAGAGCTGGGCAGGGGCACTAAAGAGGGCAGTAAGTCCACCCTTTTGCCATACAGATATTAATGCCATTCACAGGGAAGAAAAAGACAAAACAGGACCAAATACCCAAAGGGGGGAAAAAATGATTCTGCATGTAAATACCCTGAAAGTAGCAAACAGCTCCATTTCCACAAAGAGCAGGCATGGAGTCATCAGCTCTCGAAGGGAACAGGTGCCCTCTTCCCCTGTTGAGACCCTTCAACTTCCCCAGGCCCCCACCTGGACCTCAGAACAGTCAATGCTGTATTTTTGCTCTAGGTTCCAGCTACTTAACCTGTTTCCAAGCCAGTGAAGACGTGGTTAGGGGCACACCTCAGAATAATCCGTTGGTTCTGGTCTAGGCGGGAATAGAAAAATTGTCCCTATATTCACCGTAGTGAAGTAAGTCATAGGGAAAGAAATAAAAAACTCTTTTGCTTGACCATTATAGTTGATTTTAGCCTATTCATTACGGTGATTTTCTTCAATGTTATGGTAGCAAGATATGGAAAGAATGAAGCCCACTCAAATGCCCAGGCATCTACACTGCAGCCTTCAGTGGGGGCAGGAGGCCTGGCTAATTCTCACCAGTGCCCAGCTCTGTGGCTGGCACTACAGATGGCCTTGGCTGGCACTACAGATGGCCTCTGCTGGCCCTTCCTGATCCTCTGCATCTGGTTCATTTACTCAGCTGGACTTGATCCTGAGGAAATGAAAATTGCACTTATCCTCTAGCTCGCTGGTGGCAGCTATTGCTTAGCTGCTCTTTAGAATTATCTAGAGACCGCCACACGAGACAGATCTAGGAGAGTGTGGTGAGTTTATCCAAAGTGCTGTTTTTACATATTTAGAGATATGAATGTGTCATTTTCCCATTAGTGATGCTCTATGTCTTTGAGTCCCTCCCCTCGCCAGATGACTTCCCTTTACCACATATAGCTGTGGACCCCACTCAAAGCACTTCCCTTCTCATTTTGCCTTAATCCAGGGCTCAGGCCAATAGGATGAGACCAAATCTCATTGGGGCAGTAATGCCTCAAACTGATGTACATTTTAAGCCAAAGGGTTGAGACTAAGTAGCATGATGAAAGGGGCTGCTTTGGATTAACCCACCAGGGCTGTCTCCTCCTTAGGCACACACATCTTCCCACAGTCAATGCTCAGCATTGCTGTAAAAACATCAACTTTCCCCGGCAAGGCCTGACCTGTTTGCCTCTTTGCTGCAATGGTTATTTTAGAGAGACTGAGGTAGGTTCTTCTCAACTTGATTCTAGTTTCTTTGGACTTTCCACTCAGGGTAAGGTCAGACCAAATTCATCCTTACCCTAAGCGACAGACTCCTTAAAAGAAAATTCAACGGGGGCCTCCCCGGTGGTGCAGCGGTTGCGCACTGGGCTGCGAAGCTGCCCGCACCCTCTGCAGCGCCGGTTCCATCCCCGGCTGCTCCCCGGCCACTGGAGGAGGGTCCCACATGGCGCGCAGACCTCTCCTGCCGCCCGCTGCTCCCCTCAGCAGTGTACCTCGGTCCTTCTGCCTGTTCTGCTCCCTGCTCTGGCTCTGGTGAATTCTCTCACCCTCCCACGCTTCTGACTGTACCCAGTGCTTATGTAAATAAATAAATAAATCTTTAAAAAAAAAAAAAAAAAAAGAAAATTCAACGGTTAAAAATACAAAGTAGGAGAAATAAGGTTCGACTTTTTAAGAGGAGCCCATGTTGGGCTGAACACAATACTACTATAGGCCAACCTGATACAGAGTGATTTGCTTTGTCACACTTTAGGTGACGCAGGGCACACAAGAATATGAAATCCCGCATCCTCCTCCTGGCAGTCCAGCTGGAGCTCAGGAACAAGGAAGGGACTGACTATTGCACTCTACACAGGTTCATATGCTAGTACCTTCTGCCTTCCCAGTGCAGGACTGAAAAGAACAGTCACCATCTCCAAGAGGTGCTAGGAATCAGGGAACCAAGTTTCCAAATGTATCGACTCTCCCATGATCTCCATTTTCCCCCATGCTTCCTGGGGTCACACCAGGATGCAGCTGAAAATTAAGAACACAATCCAAGGGCTGAGAAATCAATGATTTCTTTGGGTTTACATTCTTCTGTGAAATACAAACGCAGATTCAGTGAGTCAGGATGTAAGAAAAGACCCTCTTTAATGACAGTATATTTTATAAACACAATTTTCCCCAAATTTGGATCTTCTGAAAGTCACTCTGCCGATTAAGCTTATTTTCTACTGCTGCCATTTAAAGGTTGGTCTACATCCAGCCTAAGCCAAGAGACATGTACAGAACCCACCACAATTTGTCCAACACCCTAATGTTGTTTTATTTCTGTGATCTATGCCCTGTGATTAGAAAGAAAAGTCTGTCGGTTTGCTCCAAAATGTCCCTTCTGCAGGAGTCAGCTGTTCTTTGAAATGTGCTGTCTTTCATTTAAACTCAAGCTATATATGAAACTGTGGGTCCACAGCTGTGCACAGCAGCCACCCACTTGGGCCTAGCGATCAATCATGGTGTCAGTTGCCAAGGATGAGATTGCTGAAAAGACCCAAGCAGGACAGGAGAGACAAAGGCAGTTCTCTCTATAGCACGATGGAAATGGACAGTTTCACAGTTTCCATGCCTTATTCATAGGAACCATTTCTGCCATCAGGCTAGCTGAGACTTATGGGTCTCTCCTCGGGACTCTTCATAATCTTCCCCCAGGTTCAACTGGGGACCAGGGATCATCACCGTCTGAAAGAGCAGGAAGCTGAGTTATCTACCGTCCAAGCCCACGGCTGACCCAGGAAAGATTCATCCTCACTTCCACCCCCAATAGGAGAGTCCTCCTCTGGTGCTGCATTACTCCCCACTCCACTAGGTGGCTCCCAATACAAGCATCTCTGGATGCCAAGAATATGCTTTATAAAATCTTATATTATTTAAACTGTTTTACCTTAATAATGGGCTGCTTAGGAGGTGCCCATGGGGGAATAATTTTGCCATGCATTCTCCAGCTCCCATAGGGGTTCGTCAGGTGCCTTTCAAACACAACATACTCCAGGACATCCTTCGGCACATCTTCTTGTCCATACATCAACCGGCCAAACCGATCATAGATGGCCAGAGTCTATAACAACGAAAACAAATCTGTCCTGTTAGTCCTCAGAGTCATTTGTTTTGGTTTTGGATTTTGCCACACAACCATATTTGAAACAACCATAACAAAAGATATCATGGGTAGAAAAAAATTACCTCAGAATTCTGAATCAAAATCAGCCAACTAACACTTTACTCCTAGAGGGTGTGTGACTAGGGAGAGGAAGGGGAAACAAGGTGGGCGAGCATGTCCTGTCCCTGTGTCAGCAGAGCTAACATCCAGCTGTGGGAAATGCACAGTGACAGTGAGGAAGACTGTGGTGAACCTTTCCTTAGAACCCATAGTCCTGGGATTCCAGAGGCAGGTGCCCCACCTGAGCGTGAAGGAGAAGGAAAGTAATCTGTGCCCCTACCTGGCGGGTGTGCATTCGGACAGTGACCTGGCCAAAGAGGTTGCCCTGGTTCAGCAGATGGGAACAGCGAACTTGAACCACCTGGGCTGGTTCTAGAGATTCGACAAAGCTCCAGCGCACAGTCTTATATTTGATGTCCCAGACCATGTCCTGAGAGCAGAGAACAAGTTCAATTGGGTTTAACCTCCCCCTAGGGAGGCTGGTGCTTCGCTCCATATGTGCTCCCACTTCCTGCGATGTTAGAGACAGTAATGCAACTCCCCACCAGATGCTTTCTAAGGCCTATTTTCTCTCTCCCCTTCCCAAGTGTTCACTAATCTACTGTTCAAGCTCACGTCGCAACAACTCTTTTCATCTAAATCACAACTCAAGACCCACCAACCTCCTAAGGATCCTTCATCAAATCAGTAAAAACTACACACCACACTGCCAGCTTACCTGACACCCCCCGCCCCGCATCCCTCCCATACATGTCACAACCTGCAAATTACTGAGTGCATTTCTGTCGACGGCATGTCCCTCCCTTGTACCTTTTACCAGTGAAAGGTGGGATTCTGCAGGGATATAAAGGCTAAACCGCTAAGAGTAGGTTAGCTATATTCATCCCTGGGGAGATGAGGCTAAATTGATAAAAACTCAAGTTCTTGTTCTAGCGGCTATAACTAAACCACAAAATTCCTATTCTTGGGGCTTTTCTAAAATACCTGACACCTCTGTTACCACACAACACATGCCTGTGAAAGCCCGCCAAATCCGCAGTGCAACATGTGTAGGGTCAGTCTGACGAGGGCCCAAGGATTCAGTAGCACTGGCCCTTAGCAGCTTTCATGTCAAGTCATTATCACTTAGCCAAAAATAATGGCACTTTAGCTTTTGCCTTAAACTTCCTATACTTTCGAAACAGACCCTTCTCAAGAAACCCAGGGGTGATGCCTAGAATCTGCCCAAACAGTTTTGAGGAGAATGGGAACCTACCGGAAAACAGTTTTCTGTTACCAACGCATGAAGTCGGTCATGGTCTGAGCTAGAAAAGAAAAACAGATATATTTATATAGATCACTGACTCCTCTTTTCATGATGCCCTGTATGAAAGTTGAAAATGGTCCTGAAAATGGAAAACAATTTATTTTCATAAACATCTTCTACACACTTACTACAAGCCAGATAATATGCTAAGTCCTAGGGACACAAAGATGAACCATTACATGACACAGCTGAGCCCCCTGAAATGCAACAGCAGAGTAAAGTTAGGTTTGAATCTCAGGAACAGATGGAACTTTCTCTGAAATTACCACACATCCATAAGATGGACAACAGAACCTCACTGGGACATGAGAGGACAATTTTCGCTCTAGAGTGCTGCAGGAAACACAACACAAATAGCAATCAAAAGTTCATCTCATCTCCTCTTATTGTGGACACCTCATCAGTACCAGCTAGGTTGGTCTTGTATCTTCACTCTCATCTTGGAACCTAGCTAAAAGATTATCATCTGTATTTTCTGGTCCCCCTGTCTTCAGCTCCCCTCCATCTTTGCTGCTGCCAGAGATAGCAAGAATATATAGAAAAAGAAAGAAGGAATCATTATGATACATCATAAAAAAAGTCAACTAAATACCCAAAGAGCAAGAAACCTATCAGACACACAGAGAATAGTGAAATGGCACAACTACTGCTTTATCATGTAAATGCACTAAACTCTCCCTTTAAAAGGTAGATATTAGCAGCTGAATTAACAAAGAACCATCTTCCATTTATATGCCTTCTAATGGCTAAAGTGGTAAATGTATTTTTAATCACAATAAATAAAAGCCCTTATTAAAATAATTTTTAAATAAATGATTATATCTTTGACTTTTTAAAAATTCATCAAAATAAATTTAGAGATCTAACTGGCTTTATTCAAAGATTCATAAATTGGACAGCATCTAATCTAGCAAGTAGAAAGGCGCTGGCTGGTTTTTTTAAAAAAACACCTATTTGGGGGCCTCCCGGGTGGTGCAGGAGTTAAAGACACAGGGCTATCAAGCTATCACCAGAGTTAGATCTCTGGCCAGGGAGCAGACCTCTCCTGTGGCGCCTGATGCTCCCCTCAGCAGTGTATCTTAGTAGATCAGCCTGTTCTGCTCCCCACGCTGTCTCTAGTGAATCCTCTTACCCCACACACCTCTGGCCTACACCCCTGTTCTTGTATGTTTAAAAAATATATTAAATTTAATTTAAAAACACCTATTTGTTAAAAAAAATTTCAGACCTTCAAAGGAACCAAAACCAAAAGGAAAAGAAATAAGATAAAACAAATGTGTGGAAGATATAGATTTTATCAGACACAGACTTTAAAATAAGTATAATTAGTACAGCTATTTACAATAGCAAAGATATGGCAACAACCTAAGTGGTCACTGATGGATGGATGGGAAAACAAAATGTGATACACACAATATACTACATTATTCAAGCATAAAGCAAGATGAAATCTTACCACTTGAGACAACACAGATGGACCTCAGGGGCATTATGCTAACTAAAATAAGTCAGACAGAGTAAGTCAAATACTATATGATCTCATGTGGAATCTAAAATAAACAAATAAAAAAAACCAGTCAAACAAAAGATACAGAGAACAGATTGAGAGTAAGGATGATGAAATGGGTGGAGGGGGTTGAAAGGTATAAACTACCAGTTATAAAATAAAGTCAAAGGGAAGTAATATACAGCATGGTGACTATAAGTAATGACACAATATTCCCTGGTGGCCCTGAGAGTAAATCTCAGTCATTTGGCAGAAAGTTCCAACGCCTGTGAGTCAAGCTGAGCCAGACCAAATGGTGAAAACTCCCAGAAGCAGGGCGAGAAATCAAAGACAGTACCAGACTGCAATTACTCCCCATATAGGAAGTTCTCCTACCCCAGAACTCTCTACCTGAAAAAGGAAAAAACCCTGTGCTCAAAATAACAGCTGCTTATAGTGGGTATAAGATAAGGAATTCACTTACTTATTTAAACAAAGGTGAGCCTCAATGAAGATATCCTTAGCTTTTTCAGGGAAGTCCTTTATTTTAAAATTAGCATCATGTTCTCTTATCTTCTGGATTCTGTAAAATTAAACATGTGAATCATTTCTGAAGAAGATTCCATAACTCACAACTTACATTAACTTCCACTAATGTCTATCCATTTATTAAATAATTGTTTTTCAAATGTTCCAAGTTCGGGCCTCCTCGGTGGCACAGCGGGTTGACTACCACGCTGTGAAGCTGTCCACAGCCTCTGCAGTGCGGGTTCGATTCCTAGCCAGCCAGGGAGAAACCCACATGGTGCGGCAGACCTCTCATGCCGTGCCTGCTGCTCCCCTCAGCAGTGTCTTTGGTCCGTCTGCCTGTTCTGCTCCCTGCTCTGTCTCTAGTGAATTCTCTCACCCTCCCATGCTTCTGACTGTACCCCAGTTCTTGTATAAATAAATCTTTAAAAAATAAATAAATAAAATTATAGAACTTGGCCAAGTTCTATAAATTTAATATTATAACTCACACTTAAGTCAATCATTCTAAACAAAGACCAAGGCTTCTCTCATAGTGAAATTTCAGAATTCTAGAATGAAAGAAAATACCCTATCAGCATTAAGAAAAAACACTGATTTCAAAAAAACAGATTTCAAACAAAAGCTCAAAAGTCTGAACAACACTGAGCTTCTAAGTAGCAACATTAGAAGTTGAAAAGACAATGGTCCAGGGCTTTTAACAGAGGAAAAACTATTTCTAGCCCAGAATTCTAGCCCAAAGTTAGATTTGCAAGATCTCATTTTCTACCATGCACCCTTTCTCAGAAAGCTGTGGGGGAATGCATTCTAGCAAAAAAAAAAAAAAGTGGGATAAAACATGAAAGAGGAAGATACAAGATCCAGGAATAGGGAAAAAATACAAGAGTAAGACAGAAGGAATATTAGGAAGATGATAAAAGTAGATCCCAAGCTGTACAGTGTGCCTAAAGAGCAACCATCCCAAACTGAGACAGTTAAGAAGGTTTCAGGAGAGATTTCTTCTTGAAAATGAAATTATTAAAATACTTAATGTTTTCAATGTACTGACAGAAAATTTATACAACCAGGGGCTCTATAAGCAAATGAAAAAAAAAAAAAAAAAACCCACTTTAGGGCCTCCCCGGTGGCACAGTGGTTGAGCGTGGGGTTGCGAAGCTGCCCGCAGCCTCTGAGGCGCCGGTTCGATCCCCAGCTGCTCCCCCGCCACCAGAGGAGGGTCCCACATGGTGCACAGACCTCTACTGCCGCCCGCTGCTCCCCTCAGCAAGTGTACTTCGGTCTTTCTGCCTGCTCTGCTCCCTGCTCTGGCTCTGGTGAATTCTCTCACCCTCCCACGCTTCTGACTGTACCCAGTGCTTGTATAAATAAATAAATAAATCTTTAAAAAACAAAACAAAACAAAACCACTTTAACTCCAGAAAAAAAAATATGCAGGGAAGGAAAAGTAATGGTAATGTAACACATAACACTGATGTCAACAGCATTTTCAAATGTTAACATTAAGAGAGAATATATAATGTTAATATAATGTTAATTAAAAGAAGATGGGGGCCTCCCTGGTGGTGCAGCAGTTGAGCGCTGGGCTGCGAAGCTGCCCGCAGCCTCTGCAGCACCAGTTCGATCCCCAGCCACCGGGTGAGGGTCCCACATGGCGAGCAGACCTCTCCTGCTGTGCCTGTTGCTCCCCTCAGCTCCCCTCAGTCTGCCTGTTCTGCTCCCCGCTCTGGCTCTGTTGAATCCTCTCACCCTCCCACGCTTCTGACTGTACCCAGTGCTTGTATAAATAAATAAATCTTTAAAAAAAAAAAAAAAGAAGATGGGACACCATAATCAAGTGGAACTTATCCCAGGGATGAAAGTTTAGTTTTACATTCAAGTCAATTAATGGGGCCTCCCTGGTGGTGTAGGGGTCAAGTCTCAGCACTATCAATGCTAAGGCCTGAGTTGGATCCCCAGCCAGGGCACTAACCCACATAGGGTGCAGCAGACCTCTCCTGTCTCACCTGCTGCTCCCCTCAGCAGTGTATTTCAGTAGATCTGGCCTGTCCTGTTCCCCTCTCTGTCTCTGGTGAATCCTCTCAACTCCTGAACCTCTGGCCTATACCCCAGTTCTTCTATGTAAAAATAAGTAAAATCTTAAAAAACAAAATCTTAAAAAAAAAACTTAAAAAAAAAGTCAATTAATGTAATATACTTTATCAATAGAATAAAGGACAAATACCACATGATCATTTCAATAGACACAGAAAACAATTTTGGCAAAATACTCCCTTTACAATCTTTGCTTCCTTGCTTACATTGTTTTGATTCCCTAGAATGTTATTCCTCATTACACCCTTCCACTTCCAGCCAATCCCTCAGCTTCAAGGCAATTCTTTAGGCCTCAGTTTTATTTATTTTTTAAATTTTTAATTTATTTTTTGCATAGAAAAACTGTGGTGTAGGTCAGAGGTGCAGGGGGTGAGAGGATTCACCAGAGACAGAGTGGGAAGCAGAGCAGGCAGATTTACTGAAATACACTGCTGTGGGGAGCAGCGGGAGAGACAGGAGAGATCTGTTGCGCGATAAGTGGGTTAGCTCCCTGGCTGGATATTGAACTCAGGTCTTAGTGGTGATAGTGCTGAGACTTAACCCCTAGGCTACCAGGAAGGCCCCCTAAGTCTCAGTTATAAATGTCATTTCCTCAGGGAAGCCTTCCCTGAATTCCCAGACCAAGTTATCTTTTCCTGCCATATGTTCCCAGAGCACTCATACTTCATGTACCTGTAATTACTTGTATGCAATGATCATTTAATAACTGTTTTCTTCCCCTAGATGATAATTCTAAGATAAATCCACATATGTTTTGTTCATCATTAACCCTAGCACCAACGCTCACAATCCAGGAGAATAATACATGACATGAAAGGAAATCACTGCAGCAGAATTAATAGAAGTAGTAAATACTCAGTTACAGCTGCAGTTGCAAAGGCAGCTCCCAAAAGAGTTAAGGAAGGCTTAAAAGTTGACACCATGTCCATGTGGTTCTTGAGGAATGAGTTGGAATTACCAAGAAAGGAGAAAAAGACATTTTCAGGCAAAAGACAGGTTGTGCAGAGGTAGAAGCGTGGTATAGTAATTGTCAGGAAATTGACAATTTGTTTGGAAATGCTTAATTTTGGGATGAGAAAATTAGGACATGATGATACTGGAGAGGAAGGCAAGAATCAAACAACAAAATACCTGAATACCACTAAAAAAAAATCTAGATTTTGAAACTCTTCAGGAAATAGGGAACCGTGACAGAGTTTTAAGCAGGAAATGTGGTGTGGTAAGACCTGTATTTAGAGAAATAAATTTTGGTCATATGAAGAATTAACACTGACTCAATACACTTGCACAACAGAAGTCTATACATGACCCTAAAGAACCTATCATTTAGGTGTAGTCAGGGCCCAAGTGACAAATACTAAAAGTCTCTCTTAGAAAAATGTTTTGGTTCTGCTCTTTTTTTTTTTTTAAGGATTTATTTCATTCATATAAGAGCTGGGGGTGCAGGCCTAAGGTGGGAGCGGGGGGAGAGGATTCACCAGAAACAGAGTGGGGAGCAGAACAGGCAGATCAACTGAAATACACTGCTGAGGGGAACAGAGGGTGAGACAGAAGAGGTCTGCTGTTCCATGTGGGTCAGCTCCCAGCCAGCTCCTTAGCCACTCATGCTGCAGTGGCTGCGGATAGCTTCATAGTGCTGAGACTTAAACCCTTGTGCCACCAGGGAGGTCCTGGTTCTACTACTTAATTAAACCCAGTTAGTTCCCTAGAATAAGTCTGTCTTCCTGACCCTTTTTAGATTTTCTTACTCTTTGAAGTTTGAACTCCAAAGTACTTTTCATATAAATATGTTCTTTTATTATTTAAAATTATAAAATACGTGATCAAAAGTGTGTCCTAAAAACTTCAACTCCCTAGCTAATGTGATAACACTACCAATAAAGGTAGAGATGCTAGGCCTCCCTGGTGGTGCAAGGGGTTAAGACGCAGTCTATGAAGCTATCCGCAGCCACTGAAGCATGAGTTCGATCTCCAGCCATGGAGGAGACCCATAAAGCGCAGCAGACCTCTCCTGACTTGCCCGCTGCTCCCCTCAGCAGTGTATTTCAGTCAGTCTGCCTGTTCTGTTCCCCTCTCTGACTTTGGTGATCCTCTCACCTCCCACACCTCTGGCCTATACCCCAGTTCTTGTATGCATAAATAAATAAATCTTCAAAAAAAAAAAAAAAAGGCAGAGATGCTAAGAATCTGACTGCCCATGTTATTCTACATTATCTACAAACTATTACAGAGAGAAAATATTTTTTAATTATCAAGGGACTTAGAGCCAACACAAAATTAACCCAAGATGGTTCTTTTTTTTTTTTTTTTAGATTTATTTATTTATTTATACAATCACTGGGTACAGTCGGAAGTGTGGGAGGGTGAGAGAATTCACCAGAGCCAGAGCAGGGAGCAGAGCAGGCAGAAGGACCGAAGTACACTGCTGAGGGGAGCAGCGGGCGGCAGGAGAGGTCTGCGCGCCATGTGGGACCCTCCTCTGGTGGCCGGGGAGCTGCCGGGGATCGAACCGGTGCTGCAGAGGCTGCGGGCAGCCTCGCAACCCAGTACTCAACCGCTGCGCCACCAGGGAGGCCCCCAAGATGGTTCTTTTTGGAATAAAATGGCAACAAGAAATTTTTACACAATATACACTCCCAGTTGTCTCAGATACCTACGACAATTTTGATGCCACGTTCTTCTTCAACCGCTCAGTTTTCTGTGCCAGTCCTTCCTTTGAAAGAGAGGATACGCGTGCATCACCCTCAGGAGGAACATAGGCATCAAAGATACCAGCTGTAATGATAAGGAGAAAAATAAGAAAACATTGAAAGATTGGGAAAAAGTCATCTTGAGATCATATAAAATTGAGAGGCTCTTGGATATAAAAGACTTCTATATAGGGGGAATTCTGTCTCGTTAGGGGGAAAAAAAAGAATAAATATCTGAGAGCCTCTGTCTGCAGACATTCCACCCTGCCTACTAGGAATAATGTGAAAACAAAATCATGGTGCAAATCATTCCACCTTCCAGAAGATCTCTGGCAAAAGGGTATTTAATCAGGGTCTTAGAATATCGCATCTCACCTGTACAAGCCAGATGTAAAGGACGGTCCAAACGTTCAGGAGGAATGACCACTCCTGCTTTCCGGGCATGCTCTAAATACTCCTTTTCCGATTTATACTTAGGTTCATAAGCAGGAGGTGTGAAACGTTTTTTAGTTCTCACTGGAACTACAGCTGTGGACTGAGTCACCAGGACTGGCTGAAAGGGCAGGAAAAGGTTAATTGCCCTGGAAATAAAAATCTACCTTCTTGAAAAACATTCTAAACAGGCCTCCCCGGTGGCGCAGGTTCGATCCCCGGCTGCTCCCCGGCCACCGGAGGAGGGTCCCACATGGCCCGCAGACCTCTCCTGCCGCCCGCTGCTCCCCTCAGCAGTGTACCTCGGTCCTTCTGCCTGCTCTGCTCCCCACTCTGGCTCTGGTGAATTCTCTCACCCTCCCGCGCTTCTGACTGTACCCAGTGCATGTATAAACAAAACAAACAAACAAACAAATAAATAAATAAAACATGCCTCTTAAAAAAAAAAAAAAAAAATTCTAAACAAAGATAGAAAGGTCACACCCAAAGGATGATACAGGAAAGAGAATAAAGTCATAAATCATGGGGGAGAAGTGTGTTACAATCTTAGCAGTTATAGATGTGTTTTACTAGAAGCCAGTAAGCAACCCTTACTAACACCACTCAACATTTACTAACGGTTTTCCTTTAGTAATTTACATCGGACAGGACTATGCCAATTCCTGAGGATGTAGAGTTGGTTAAAGCAAGGTTTCTGCTCTGAAAAAAAACCTTCAGTCTGATGGGCAACCTAAAATGAAGTGAATGGATTATTATTAAAAACACCTAATTCCTCTTCTTGGCATCTTCTCTGTATTTACTGAGATTATAACCTGCTCATTATTCTTTTTAGGAACCTCACTGTAAACCTTATTCTGTTGTTCTAGGTCCAAAATGATCAAAAAGCTGACTAAAGGTCATTTCTCTTGGCTGACCATGTTCAAGCAGGTACAGTGACAAAACGGGGCTCCCTCCTTACCAGCTACTGTTCAATTTAGGGCATTTAGAAGAAGTGAGTTCACCTTCCAAACCATTGCTTCTTTCCCACCAGGAGACCCAGACCATAGTTAAATCCGGACAACGCGAGGCCCTACCCATGCTCTTCCACTAGGCTACTTAAGTCAGTAGTTGGATCCGGTCTACCTCAAACTCTTCCCTAACCTAGGTGTGACGCTGATCGTCCACACACACCAAGGACAACCACAAAGTGAGTGTGTCCCTCTACTCTGTTCTCCTCCTTCGGTCCCTACTCGTCCTGCCCCTACCCACCTGCCGAGACCACCATCCTAAAGCCCTGGATAAGCAAGACACCCCCCGCGGCATGGGGGCTGCCATTTTGTTCGCGCAAAGGCCGTCGGGATTGAGTGAAGAGCCAGCGGCCCAGAGAAGGCGCATAGGTGGAGCTAGCTGGGATGTGGAATTTTCCAGGACGCGCGCCCTCCGCGGAAGGGTGAGAGGCCGCGAACGCGCACGTGCACGTGGGGTGGGGTGGGGGCGTGGAGTAGGACTGCGCGTGCGCAATAAGACCCGGTTGGGGGTAGGGTGGAATGCACGGCTGTCACGCGCCAAGCGGAGAGCGCTGGGGCGCGAGCTGCGCCTGCGCACTAGGGTTTCTGGCGGCCAGGAGTTGCTGCATTCCTGTAAGGTTGGGGCATTGCTGCACCTTGTTTCCATTCCGTAAAGAAGGGAAAGGTGCTTCGCTTATGAAGCAAGTGTTCGTCCTTGGAGGCATGGATCCCAGAAAGAGCAAAAATGAGTAGTGTATGACCTCAGTATCCTGCGTACCTTTAAACTTGAGCCCTAGTTGCCTAAACTGTACCGTGTGAAAAAAATTGTGTCAAATGTAGACACTTAATGACTACAGTTTACTGAATACACATAATGACGACTCTGTTATTGAAGCAAAAGACATGTGGACTGACAAAAACATTGTCATTTTGCCTTTCCCCCTAACAATTTCAGGAAAGAGGCACGGGATTGATATTAAATAATCGTTTACACTTAGAAATTATTTAGCGGGTGCCCCGCAATTTTCTAAACATGTTGCATCTATTAACTCAATTCTCACCACAAACAAGAGTAAGAGTTTCCTTTTACATTTGAAATGAGGCCTCAGAAAGTAAGTGCTCGTAGTTTGAGATCACCTGATTAATAACTAGCAGAGTAGGATTCAAATCCAAGCGTCTAACTCCAGAATCCATAGGTTACCAAGCTGGAATGCTTCACATTCGTTTGTTAAAGGGTTCATGATGTTGAGGTCATCCTGAATATCCAGTGCTGTAATCATTGTTAAATGGCACTCGTCATGCTTACCTGCAGATGCTTTTTTATACTGCTAATTAATGTTTATAGAGCACTTACCTACAGTATTTGGCAATGAATTAGGAGCGATGGGCGGTTCCTAAAGAATCTTACAGCCTATAATTGTAAGATTACATTGTAAGATTAATTGTGGAATTATAGAATTACTAGAAGGGCCCAGGCAAAATGCTAGGCAAAGGAAACAGAAATTACTTTGGGGTTTGGGGATCATATATATTGTCTTTAATCTTGACTTCTCAACTATATATAAATTCTTCAGGGTAAGAATCCCTCCCCCCCAAGTCCTAGCCACAGCTTTGAGCCTATAACACACTAATAGTAACGTGAAATTAGGTGCTATGTGTAGATGTTCAAAAATACATATTACAAATGTTTAAATGAAGAAATCTAATATTTTTCTAAAGATTTATTTATTTACACAAGCACTGGGGTACAAGCCAGAGGCGCGGGAGGGTGAGAGAATTTACCAGAGACAGAGCAGGGAGAAGAAAAGGCAGAAGGACCGAAATACACTGCTGAGGGGAGCAGGGGGTGAGACAGGAGAGGTCTGCTGCACCATGTTGGTTGCTCCCTGGCTGGCCAGGAATCGAACTGGCACTGCAGAGGTTGCAGACAGCTTCACAGCACTGCACTCAACCCACTGCACCACCGGGGAGGCCAGAAGAGATCTAATATCTTAATAGAAACATTATCTAATATCTATATTAGATATTATCTAATATCTAACTACTCTATACCAGAAAGTAAAACCCTAATTCCTTTTGCTACACTCCCCAAGTGCAGAAACCCTGCTTCATGATATGTAGTTGTTGATTAATACAGAATGTTGCTGTAGTCTGTCTGGGATTATTTGCTGCACTATTGAATTTTATGTTGATCTCACACAGTAGCTAATACAAACACATCTCAGATCATCTCTACCTGCCCTTTCTAATCAGTGACTCAAGGAATGCAAACTTCTTCCATATCAGCCTGGATCCAATGATTTTTTTTTAAGATTTATTTACATATACAAGAACTGGGATACAAGCCAGAGGTGTGTGGGGTGGGGGCGGTGAGAGAAGTCACCAGAGACAGAGCAGGGAACAGAATCGGTAGATGGATCGAAGACACTGCTGAGGGGAGCAGCCGGCGAAACAGGAGATGTCTGCTTCGCCATGTGGGTAGCTCCCTGGCTAGGGATTGAACTTGTGCTGCAGTGGCTGCAGATAGCTTCATAGGTTGTGTCTTAACCCCTTGCACCACCAGGGAGGCCCAGCCTGGATCCAATGATAAAGGAAGTTGATATAGTTTAATTCATTCAGAGATTAATTATAAATGGGTTTTTTTAATTAACCATTTTGGAGAAAATTTTTATCTTTATATCTCATTAACTTTGTGGAAAATAGGGAGTTGTCTACTGGGGAAGTAACACCAAAAGAACATTTAATCCTGCAACCCTAGGAATTCATTTTTTATTTTATTTTATTTTTTTTATATAGAGGCATGTTTTCTTTCTTTCTTTCTTTCTTTCTTTCTTTGTTTTTGTTTATACATGCACTGGGTACAGTCAGAAGCGTGGGAGGGTGAGAGAACTCACCAGAGCCAGAGCGGAGAACAGAGCAGGCAGAAGGACCGAAGGACACTGCTGAGGGGAGCAGTGGGTGGCAGGAGAGGTCTGCGCGCCATGTGGGACCCTCCTCCGGTGGCCGGGGAGCAGCCGGGGATCAAACCGGCGCCGCAGAGGCCGCGGGCAGCTTCGCAACCCAGCGCTCAACCGCTGCGCCACCAGGGAGGCCCCGGAATTCATATTTTAGAAAAAGCAAAATAAGAACAGGAGAAGGAACTTTCTATGCAAGAAAGGGAAGGAATGAGGTGGTTGAGTGCTCAAACTTGCAAAGAACAATCTTGCACATAGTAGACAATCAAATATTTATTTATGCAGTAAGTGGTTGAGTACAGTCCCAGAAAGAATTATGATGGGGGTGAGGGAAAGTTTGATTTCCTGTTCTCCAAATACAGGGAGTTCCTGGAATCCCTTTTGTCCTATTGAAATTTATATATGAAGTCAAAAATGATGAGTTATCACTTGAGCCATGGGGCATGTACTTGCATTATTTTCCTCCAGGGGCAATGATTGAAAAGATATCAGAGATTGAAACTTCTAAAGTTCTGCCTGGGAATATATATTCTAGAAGAAGCAGAGTTGATTTGGGTAAGGAAAATCCTTCCAGAGATTTGGAAGTCTCTAATTATAATATGTTTATTGATTATAACAGCATGTTAATTAGATTAAAGCAAGTAATAGATTTGCATGCCACATGTTTCTATTTTACTTCCCTCCCCTGAGTGAGAGTAAGAAGAGCAAAACAAACTTAAATGTCCAAGATAAGGCCACTTAGAAGAAACCAAGAATTCTGACTTTCTAAGAAATGTTCTCAACTGACCTTTACATAGCAATGTCCTAGAGCTTCTTTGTCACTCTAAGAATCAACTGCTGTGGTTCCCACATAGTGGTAAACAGTGCTGTAGTACCTGAGTTTATATCTTTGTACCTCTTCTTTCTCTCACCTATAGGAAGGAGGTAATAAAGTACCTAACTCTTAGCATTGTTACTCATTTAATAAGTTCATACATGTTCCCACTCTGGTCGTTCATGGTCACTACTTCCTCAGCCCCACGGTAGGCCTGCAGGGGATATACACCCTACTTTGTGCTGGGCATAGATAACACCCCTGCCCCCAGGGCCCGCCCTAGCAGGTCCCTAAAACAACATAGCATGGAGCCTGGATTCTTCAGGAAATCCTGTGCTTTTGTTCTCTTCCCATAGGGAGCAGTTCTCAACTCTGTTGAAGCTAAGAACACCATGGAAAGACAAGTGGCTTCCAATGCCCAGGGTGATCCTTACTCCTGTGCAGCAGGACTTTCTTCTCCTGTCTGCTTTTCTTTCTCATTCCACCTTCCACTCATCCCTGCCACTGAGGAAAAAGGTCTTTTCGATTATCTTTTCCTGCCTGCCTCAGGCTCTTTATTTCTAAAGGTATGTTTACCAAGAGATAATGTTCATCCTGGTTCAGTCAGAAAAGAAACCCATGCATCCTGCTGTTCAATGTAGCTGAACAATCTAATTCCTCCCCTCTTCACGCCAGCTGGCTAAACCAAGCAATAATCCTAAAGGGGAATTTCAGGCTATTTGTGACCCACCCCCACCACATTTAGGGAGGAGAGAGCTAAGTCTCTGGAGCAGAGTAATCTGTTTCTAACCCACTTTCATTCCCAGGGATTACCTCTGTAGGAGGGAGACAGAATAAATCTGACACCCTTGTGCTGGGGACTTGGAGGAGAAGTTCCAGGAGTGCCTGGACCTGTTCTCATCTGTTGAGATACCCTATGAAAAGGCCTGCAAACTTGGAAAGCAATGCCTAGAGCAGTGTTTGGCAATAGTAGGTAGTCAATAAATATGTTAAAATAATGACAAGTGTATGGATTGTGGGCAGGTTGAAGGCAAAAATAATTTCCTGGTTATCTCTACAACCTCACGTCCTCAAGTGCACACCAATTTATAGCTGAAAATCAACCAACAAATAGGGAGTTGTAATACAGTGGAAAGAGTTCTGTATTGGGAGGCAGGAAGCATGGATTCTAACCCCACCATTGCTAACATTGACTTACCCTCTGACTTTTGGAAGTCAATTTGCATCTCTGATCACTAAATTTCCTCATTAAAAAAGAAGTCACTCTCTAGATGCCTCAATTTAAGTCCCAGTGGTGTGTACTGAGATCCTATTAATAATACAAGGCCTGAGTTCATTTATCCACTGACAAGGACTCCTTTGGGGGCCTTTGTGAACCCAGTGCTGAGCACACACCTTAACATGGACACTGGCCTGCTGTACAAACACGACTCTCCCTTGGAGCTGACCATTCCTAGGGAAGCTTGTGTGTGCGGGTTTCCTTCCCTAGGCTTCAGGGTTGAAGCCTAGGAGGTTGCGTGAATGCAGAAAAATTCCACTAGAGGGCACCAAGACTGCACTAGGATTGCAGACTGCAGGGAGGCTTATGTCAACCAGCTCTTCCAGGATTTTTAAAGACCTATATTCAGAAATTTAGACATTCCATTCATTGTTCCTTA